CTGTTTATGGAGCACAGGGCAGTTGTCAGTGTTTATTGCAACACTTTCTCACACGACAGCATTTACTCTCCACTATTGAGAGAATCCATCAGACAGCTGTCAGTACACACATGCCTCAATTGAGTCAATCTTGCTGCATGATCCCGTTCATCAACTCCGCTGCAGTACTCTAGTCGTTCAGTTTGTTTGTTGTATGTATACTAAAATAGTTACCCTAAATCTCTTACAGCCAATTCCGTGGAAGCAGTGTTACATGAGAAATCAGTTACAATTAGAGCATGCAAGCTAGACTATTTTCTTACAAAATTGTACGACCAAATGCATCATAAAGTGTTCCTAGGATAACCTAGATCTCGTATAACATCACTGTACTCTCTATCGTAGCTAGTAAATTTAGCTGTTGTTATGATGGAAACCGGTTGTGGCTTTTGTGGCGGTGTTACACGAATCTGGCAACTACCTCTAACTTTAGTTCTTGCTGCAATAACGTCAATCTTTACCGCCCGATCCCCCACCTTGAACCAACCAATCTTATCCCCGCGCGCATATCAGAAACCTGCCGTCAATTTTCACCACCAGTCACACTCTCACTAATTATTATCACACATACACAATTTAATTGTGATCGTTCTCAAATCACCCAAGAAACCGCCCTATCTAACAAACCAAAACAAAGAGAAAATCACTCAAATCCGATATAACGGGTGACGTTCCTCTCCCTTCGAAATTAGGTCTAGATCTGCATTCCTTGTCACAGCCGAGCCAACCTAGCTCCGTCATTTTCATTGCCCTGATAGTGACTACGGCCAAAAGAAATAGGAAAAGACAAAAAGGAAATCGATATAGAGATCGATCGCATCGCATCACACACAAGAGAGATAAAAGCGGTCGCTTGCTTGGAAGCAGTGACCACCATCATCAAGAATAACCATGACCGCCACTCCCGATGCCGAATTTCCCTGTTCAATGCAAGCCACCCCTCTTCCCTCTTCCACCCCTTGACGATGACGCTTTACAAGGCTAAGCTCAACTCCAAGGCTGGCTGTTGTTTGTTGTTGTCATAGCTCCCGTTACTCTACAGCTTCCCTTTTACTAACCCCTGTCCCCCTTGTCTAGTACTCTAAACGTCCCTTTTCCTACTGCTCGACTGGCCACAACCGCCCTCAAGGCCATTCAGGTGGACCCTGAACTCTCCCCACTCGTCAGGCGACAGCTCACCGTTGTCCCGGCGCCGACGTCAAAGTCAACCCAAGGTTCACCAAATGGTCAAGTTGCAAATGCAGATGCAGATGCGCGGCTCCTCGAGGTTCAGTACAGAGCAACAACCAATAGAATGCTTCGTGTCGCTGTCAACGGCTTCATGGAGAGTTTGAAGCTCGTGATGGAGGTTATGGAGCAACTAGACACTGATGTCCTTGCTCAAAAACAACAATAACATGATACCATCATCATCACAATAAACATTGTTATGGATACATTCTCGTCTCTTCCCTTCTCTCCACCACACGTCACTTGTTCGCTTCTCGGATCTTATTTCTCAAACCTGGTATCTCACATCCATGTCTCACTGTGCCTTGCTCGTTATTAGTAATACTTGGTTTGACTGATTTGACTATTATATTCAACCCTGGTATATCTATGCTCCACGATTCATGTGAAACCGTTAACCTTTCGTTTACCAAATCATCCAATCATGTCTCTGGCTACATCGCATCAATGATTCTCTACAAATAGCCAGTCTACGCCTAAAGGCGCTTATCTAATGTCCCGCCTAGCCGCCCTACCAACCTCAGACAAAACGCCAAAAACAAAACATCGCTGCCACCGTTGAGGATATAATGCAGACTGCCGACCCCTCGCGAACTGGACCGATCTTATTACTGTCCGGGGTCCCCATTTGTACAGCGCTTATGTACCTTGCCATGAACCAACCACATTTCCATCTCTTGCTATTGCTTTTCCTCTGTTGACCCTTGTAAACCCTCCAATTGCTTTTTTAATTCTTCAACCTCCTTCTTCAGGTCCCCGTTCTCTTTTTCCAAGCTCTTCATATGCACGATAGCGTTCTCGACAACACTGGCTTTGCTGTTCTGTGCATTCGCTTGCTTTCCGTCCTTCTTATCGCCTTCGTCCATGATGTCTGCCTTATCGCCTCCAGGCAACAGTCCAGCCATGACCTGCAGTGCTGAGTTGATTCGGTTGCGGCGCCCTTGTTCTGCAATCTTGTGTGATGTTCGCTTTGATGTAAGGTTGGTCGAGAGTTCGCTTGGATATGACACACCCGGCACCTTGTTACCCTCTAGGATGTTTTGGTAGTTGGACTTTGACATCAGCAGTTGTGAAGCAGCACTCTCCGCCGGCGTCATTCCAGGCGTACCAGGAAGCAAGGGTTTGATGCTGGGGGAGATTCTCGGTAGCAGAGCAGGCGAAACGTGAACAGAGCCTGTAGACCTCTTCCTGCTTGACCGAGGTGCAAGTTGAGGAGTTTTCCGCGCAGACGGACCCGTCGACCCGGGGACTAGTTGAGGGCTCGCGGTTGCAGAAGCGCTTCCCGATTGTCGTCGAGGGAATGCCGGGGATGGCAGAGGTTGGAAGCCGGACGCCTTGCCAGGAGCAGCTTCCACAACTGGGGACTGGACCGAGGACCGTGAGATAACGGGGGTCATAGTCTTGCTTGATACCGACTCGGGTAGCTCTAGTGATTCGATGTGATCAGAAACAATAGGTTCTTGGTGCCCGGCAGCATGCTTGCTTGCCCTAGATGCAGGTAGCTTCATAAGCGAAGCAGGTGTAGCTGGGGCAGGATTTGAGTCCACAGGACCCGGGACAGGTGTTTGTTGGCTGCTTGGCTGTGCTTGAATGTATGGCGATTTGCTGGTCGATCTCCTGTTGGGAATTGGAGGCGGAGGCATTTCGGAAAGCGCTTCAGGGGACACTGATGAGTATTCCTCAGCCGAGGTCTCAGTAGAGGTTGCGGACGTAGGGAAAAAAGAGCCGTTCATCTCTTCGAACTCGTTGAGTACCTGTGACACAATCGCAGGACTGGGTCCCACTTTCCGACGTTGAGGTTTCACGATGGGAGAGCTTCTAATGCTAGCCTTTGCCCTCGTCTTCGTTGCGGCCTTCTTCCTGGCAGGCTTCTTGGGCAAGTCCAAGACAGACGTGACGGGAACAGCCGATCTGTCAAGGTCCGCATGGTCGATTGGCGAGTTGTCTGTGTTTGTGTGGCGTGGGTCGTAGATTGTCGAGGGGTCGTTCTGCGCATGAAGGGCTGGCGATGTCAGAGGACTGAAGTATGCGTTGGGAATAGTGTAGCCGCTGTCCATAGAAAAGTTGGGATCCAGAGGAGTCACTGCCGGGGAGACAAGAGGTGTGAAAGCCATCTGAATACAAGTTAGCCTCGAATTCTCCTGATTTCAGATCGTCGTGAGAGGGGCAGTAGTGATTCCTTACATCTTGTTCCTTCATGCGCTGGTGATAGCCTCTATCGTAAGCACCCGAGGCTGGTATTTGCTCGGCTTGGGAGTAGAATTGTGCGTTGTGGGGCATCTCAAGACTTTGCGGCGTTGGTGGTACAGAGTGGTTGTGGTTGTGGAAGAAAGCCGCTTGTTGCTCCTGCATTTGGCGTTGCTGCTGATGAAACTTCTGCTGCTGAAGATACTGGATCTGGGCATCGATGTTGGAAATGGGGTCACTTGCAGGCGTCATCATATGAGCCGGGATCGTTGGTTGAGTAGTGGACGTTGACATTGGCACTGCGCCGGCTGTGGCCATCAGGCCTGGGTTGTCACAGTCGGTCATTATTGTGTCAGGAGCATCGCGCGATTGACTCATTAGTCCCTGGGCGGAACCATCCTGGAAAGATTGAAAGTCGAAGTGCATGGCATCGCCCAGGCTTCCCATGTTGCTCATGTCGAGAAACTGGTGGAAATCGTCATCACCGCCCGAGGTCATTGTTTGGTCTTGCCCGTTCCATGTCGTCGAACTCATCATGGCTGAAGTGACGGCGGGCGCCGATGTGGTACAATTGAGTTTATCGAATTAGGCGGACGAGAGGGGGTTGAGTAGTAGTGGGCGAGCCAGAAGAAGGCTGCGCAAGACAAGAAAACCAGGTCGTGGAAGCAGCACCAAAGCGGAGGATCTGACTCCAAAATAGGTAGGTAGTGATGAAGAAAGAAAAAAGTCTCGAAGTTGACAAGTATCACAGAATAAAAACGGGCGAGATTTAGGATCAAGATGCGTTCCAGTCGGACACAGGAGGTACTTGACCGGTTGATCGGCGGTGATACAGATAGAGACAGCAGAAATATCGCGGCAAAAATAACGGGCTGGGAAAAGCCTGCGATGAAATAAAGCGGAATGAGTACCGCAGAGGCTGTGAACGCTGCGACGATGCAAAAAGTAGTTGGACCAGAGGGGCAGCTGAGTGAGGAGCGTCAAGGGAGAAAGAAGGCCGTCGTCAGTGGTTTGTGATGCAACACAGGTGCAGATGTAGATGCAGATACAGATGCCGACGGAAGAAAAAGAAGAAAAAAGCGGCAACAGAAGCCGTAAGCGCAAGCGCGAACAAGACTCGACTCAACGGAAGTCCTCTACCGAAAGAGACTCGACTCGAGTTGAGTAGAGTCAAATTGAGAATCAAGTCCAAAAGTGAAGAGTCCAAAGGTGGTTGGTTGGTTCGCTATGTCAGTTAGTGGCAATCTATCCGTACTACCTAAGGTAACCTTACCTATGGGGGGCTAGCTAACGCTGGGCAGGCAACTGCAACTTCAACCCGCTCTCCAACGTTTCCAATATGAGAACTGAAGGGAAGGTCTGAATGTAGAGAGACTTTTTGTCGCCAGAGGGGGGGGGGGGGATGACAAGTGAGAGTGGGGGCTCCTAGCCAACTGTTGGTGGGGAGCAGTTGGGCCCCCTTCAGGCGTCCTCTGCCCTGTACCCGCTGTAAGCTGGAGCCAGGCTGGGGAGGACCTGGAGGTGAGTGAGTTAGAGCTAAAGCCAAATCCTAACTCTTTTTCTACCACCTAGTTTTTATTGGCCAGAACCCAACCACAGAAATCCATTGAGTGAGTTATTGGGGAGCAGGGATCCATCAAAGTACTGGTACTTTGCGAAGCAGGAAGCCCACTCTCTATTACGCTCCATCTTCCATCACACTCACGGAGGATAAACCAAATCAATGGATGCAGAACATTGTCAGCTACGATTCTGCCAATTGAATTGAGGGACTTTGAGGGAGCTCGTCGGGGGAAACGGTGGAGAGGGTCACTTTACTGCAGTTCATGGCAGGGATGGATGGCTGCGGTTCACAAGCCGTATTCTCCGTTGCGACTTGACTTGCACGAGTTTGGCTCACGCGGGGGTTCTTTTGTCCAGAATTTACAGGAACTAACTAGCTAACCGTACTTTCTATAGAGCATGACCTTGGGATTATCACACACACACACATTCTCATTTTCATTCATCTAATCCAGCTGACTTAAACTGACTAAATTATGGCTGCAGGGCCGCGTGGGATGTCCCTTGTTCCGAGATTCTTCAGGCTTCTGATGATGGTCTCTGACAGGCATTTCTTAACGATGGGCTTAAGCCAAGCCATGGATGATGGTCTAACATCAACTCGTCATTAACCTCTCACAGGATGGACCTCAGTCTCCAAGATCAGAGCCTTGTAAACCTCGCAGCTCTAGCTCTGACTCGCCTACCAGAATTGGAATTTGGCCGTGCTGCTGCCCAGGGGCCCTTGCAAATGGAGGTGTCTGAGCCCGTTATTGGTGTTTCTCTGTCTGTTTGAGCCCCCGTTTTGGTGACCGATGGAATCTTGGCTTTTTTTTGTGGTTGCTCTTTCAGTGGTAGTGTTATTACCTATTACTGAGTATTGTTTGATGGGTTTAAAAACTTCTTTTAAAGCTGACCACATGAACTACGACTCAAGTCTCAAAACACCACATTTGACCTCATAAGCTCTGTTCAAATTCTTTTCCTTGGATTTATCGGAGCTGCCTCGGAATGTATCCGGCTTAATAACGCTGACCACTAAACTAGTAAACATGTGAACACAGAGAGCACCCCGTCGAATTCACTGTTCGAGTGGACCTGAACTGGACTCCTCCATTCTCCTCTTGAATCCCCCATCCCCATCCCCATCTCCATTCCCCTTCACCCGTGCACTGTTGAGCTCCAACTCGTCTCCGGATTATTCCATCCCAATCAGACTACGATTGTCCGTTGACTAGGGTCGCCCTTCTACCACCGGCAACCTCTTCCGTACGGAGAAACTTGCGGGTAATTCTGGCTTAATGTATTAATTGCGTATTCTGTCGTATGAGAGCTCACTCACATGAATGAATACTTGTACATGCAGTTTGGTTCAGGATTCGGTCACTCAAAATTATTCCAGTACTATGTCACGACCGTCGTGTTTTCTCAACCCATAATAGCTCCATTGTAACTAATAGTCCCCCCATTGCTAACATATCATGGCTCGGCTGAGAAAATCTCTCAGACTCAAAAACCAACCGCTACTTGATTATTGCTACCTAGCTAGACCAGACCAGGTTACCTGAAGGACCCTGAAAACGCCATCATCCTAGTTTAGCCCCTTGGGATAATATCGACGGGCAAAATGGCCGGTTATTGCAGGCAGTTGGGCTTGCATCGGGGCTCATCTCCTCTCCCCACCAACACTCACAGCTCTTGCAGGCTTGGGTAAAGTCTGGCAGGGCAGTCGGGTCCTCTGAGTATGTGTTTGCAAATTTCAAACGTGTACTTTGTTAGAGAAATATCTAATACGTAGCTCATAGCATATGCTAATATAGCCCTGACGATATGTCTAAACATGGTTTCTGTCAGTCGAAGGGAGATAGATATACAGACATGCAAGAATCGAGCCATTAATTAGTTTAGTTACAATGTCCATAGTTCTAATCTGTCATAACAACCTGACAGTAGCAGCAGGTCGTTTTTTCACATGTTCATCACGAGCCTTGTTACTCAAATCGTTCACCGAGTTATGTGCCGCTCCCTTAGACCCCCATAGAAACCCGGAGTTGAGGCTCTGGGCAGTTGCTGGTGTCAATTCAGCACCTGGATATATACGTACCGCTAGGAATGTATGGAACAAATCCGTTCTTCTCTTCTGGAATAATTCTGCATTTGCTGACAGAGTTTATTCTGCAAGCCAAGGAAGATCAGGTGGAGTTGTGTTCTGTATTGAGCGTGGCGTATTTCCCTTGAGCACTACCTTAGTAGTTGTATAAAAGACAAGTGACACCTGTTTTCTGCCAATTGATAACTCATATACCGTCACATTTAGAATCAATATCTAACATAAACTCCTTCAGTAAGAGCACGTGCTGCCAAGGTAAAGAAAAGGCTCGGCCCGCCGCTTGTCGAAACTCTGATGCTGGTTGTGGTGTACAGATCTTCACACCCACCACTCATGGCCCGGATATAAGAGCGGCGTTTGTGGCTGCAGGATCATTCCTTACTGAAGGGTTTGCGATTAATTAAATGAGCTATTCCTGGGTGACATGCGGCTGAGTATAGACTGGTCTCACATAGAAACAAGACCGATCTTGGAATAACTACTGAATGATAAACATGGAACAGAACAATATAACCCGATCAGCTCTGACCACTCTCACATACATAGAAGCGTAGCTGTTATAAGAGAAACGGCTGCTCAACTGAAGCATCTCTCACTCTCATCATCTTACTTCACTATTCAACTTGGCATCTGCCAGTACTTATGCCACGTCACATCAAGAAATCAGAGGTAATTGTTCATATCGCTTTATTGCGGGAAGTTCCAGCTTCGCAACCACTGCTTCTTCTGGCTTCCCTTGACCTCCACACATACACACAACAAAACTGGCTGCCGTCGCTCAACCTCGACCAGCAACCACGTCCCCTTCCCCATCACGACGCTCTGTCAGCTCTTTTTATCCTCCGTCTAACATCTCCATCAACATCTTGATCATCCATCGAGGTTCCCTTTTTTGCTACACTAGCCAATTACATACATCAGGAGATGGTGGTATCATAACAACAACGGCGACGATGATCGACAGAAAAGGTGGGAAATAATGACCAATCCCGGGTCAACGTCTAGAATGTACAAATAAGACGAAAGCAGGCTAAAGAAAAGAAAAAGAAAAATAGGTATGAGACATATTAGGCCGGCGAGGACACGCCGGCACGGGTTCATGCGGTGCTTTATCAAAAAGGAGAAAAGAAAATAGTGTGTCCAATAGACTCTAGGTCTGAGAGGAGTAGGGAGTGCGATCAAGTGCGCGTGCCATTATGTACTTGCACTGAATAGTAAAGGTTGAATGAGGGTTAAAGAGCAGGATATGCGCTTATGGGCGGTCGCTTTGTACTGAAGCCAGCTGTCCGCTTTCAGGGGGGGAGGAATATGCGCCAATGCAGAACGGGGTATCTCAGTGGCTCGCGATAAACATGCAAGACTCAAACGACTTCATCAGTTCATCAAGACTGCGAGCTTTACTGGCGAGCCCGGTCACCAAGGTTGAGCCAACTCATGTCATTCGACTGTGATGCCATCGCAAGCTGAGGCTGAGTGCTTACTCCAGATGTGGGTGTTTGAGGCTGAGGAACTCTGGGAGAGAGTGGCTGTCCGAAGTAGAAGCTGGGATTGTAAATGCTGCTCGTCGCCCTGTCGGTGCCCCATGGCTTGTCCTTGGACTCGGGATCCCAGGTCTCATTGATGCTTTCGGGAATGCCGCTGGAATAGCCGGAGGACGATACCTTTGAGATTGGTCTTTCGATTTTACCAGCAACGCCATCCCTGAAGGGAATGTTCTTGCTGTACTCGGAGACGACGGGGCTTCCAGAGTTAACCCGGTTCATTTCAGGACGGAACTCGAAATTAAGAGGAGGGACAGTAGCAGAGTCCTGTGTGACACGGGGGTTTCGGAAGCCTGGCTGTTCAGAGTAGTGCGATTCGGTATCTGAGCTGACAGTGTTCCGCTTAGGAGGTCCACCGAAGCCGAGAATTTGAAGAGCGCTGCCACCAGACCAGTAGCGGTTCCAGCCCGAGCTTCTTCGTAGCCCGTCTTGGGTTTCAAGGGGACCGTTACGTGATCGGGGCTCGACGACGTTGGGGTCGAAGGCAACTCCCTTTGCGTCCTGTCCTTGCACGGTTGGGTACTGCGGCTCTTGCAGGATTGGCTTGCCGATAGTGGACTTGAATTGTGTTTGATCGACACCAGCAGAGTTACCATTGTTGCCGTTGCCGGCACGACCCATTAAGATCGCCATGGATGACTGGGAATCTTGGGACATGGTTGACACGTGGTTACGGAAGTGAGGCGAGGCAGGGCTAGCACCACCGAAACCCATTTCCTTCTCGTCAGCGAGGTTGCGCACTTCACGGGGGGCAGGAGGTTTGCTGTTCTTGCCAGCACCACCCATCAAGATTGTCATAGACGAGAACGACTCTTGTGACATGTTGGACTGGTGGCCACGGAAAGGCGATACAGGAGCGCCGCCAAGACCCATAGGATCTTTCTTGTCAGAAGCAAAGCCATTCTTAGGCTGTGCCCTTTCAGGCGAGGGCTGTTGCTGTGTCTTCTTGCGACGACGTAGGAGCAGGAGGATGACAACGAGCAGAGCAAGAAAACCTAGGATCGTGCCAAGAGTTATACCCAAGATAGCGTTAGAGCTGAGGCCAGAGTCACCGTCGCTGCTTCCACCAGCGATAGACGCAGCGTCAGTGCCAGTAGCGGAGCTGGACTCGGAGATTGTCTCCGAGGCAAACAGACTCTCGGTTTCGGATGCTGAAGCAGTGGATGTGGCGAATGTGGACGATGCGTCCGAGGTGACAGACTTCGTCTTGGTGGATGAATCAGATGAGGATGTTTTGGTAGAGCTGGTCTTAGTCTTCGTGGTCGCGGTAGAAGATTCTGCTGAAAGAATCTTCTGATCACCAACGACGTCGGCGGCATTGAGCCATGAGTTGTCCTTCATATCGAAAAAGGCGAGGGGTTCATCAGCATTGCCGCCGACAAAGACAACTCTGCCATTTGAATCTTGAGCAATCGAGTATTGTCCTTGAGCACGTGTGATCGTAGGAGCCAGTGTGGAGTTATAGTCAGGCCAGTCGTTCAAAGAGAGGTCACGTTTCGTATTCGCGTCAACGGCCCCTTGGATACCTTGATCGTTAGCCCCCCAAACAGCATAGCGATGGACCATATTGGGGCTTGCTGCGAGATCGAAAACATAGAGGCTCTTAGAACCGTCATCTCCTGCCAAAACAAGGGCTTTGCTAGAAGGTGGAAGGGCCTCTGCCAGAGTGACGCCGTTGTTGACCCATCCACTTGAAGCGAAGGTTCTGACTTCCTTGTCCCATAATATACAGGCCGCATCGTCAGACCAAGGAATAACAACAGGGCTGACAACCGGAGGAGCGCCAGCCGCAGACATGATATTCATCGCATTTGCAAGGTCGATGTAATATGTGTTTTGTGAAGGTGCTTCTCTGCCATCTTGGGTACCACCCGCAACGACGATTCGATTGGCATTCTTTATGTAAGCGGCACCGTGGTATTGCAGGTTTCGAAAGGCTGTGTTGTCGGTAGCGATGGTCTCCCATTTCTTGTCCGTGAAAATGAACTTTTGAAGACCATTGTACTCAGCAGGGCCGCCGTTGCCTCCGACCACAAACATCTCGGCCTCGGTGCCAACACATACTCCTCCAGTAACCTGTTGTCCCATTTCTAGTTCCTCCCATTCTGCGTCTTCTTCCAAGGGCAGGGCCATGAAGGCCGTTGGTGTAAAAACATATAGAGTGTTGTCGTGAACGACAGAGCAGCCATTGTCCACTGAGGACGGTGGCTCAGGCAAACTCATCGTGGCGAAAAGTTCGGAACGAAATCAATCTTGATAATCAATAGGTTTCCGATGGCATGGCGGGTTCGAAAAGTCGTCAAGTATAGTTCGTATCAAGGCACAAGCCAGCAAGAAATTGTCAGAAAGAAAGTCAAGTTCAACCGGGATGATGAACAAGAAACTAAGCCACGTCCAGGCAAGACCGCGCGTGGTTAATTGAATAGAAGTCGTCTCGGAAATAATGAACGAACAAAGTCAGTCGCAACCAGACAGAGTTGAAGCTAGCGGGTGTGGCGACGATTCGATGAATCCGAGATCTGGGGAGAGCTGGCCGGATGCAGCAAGATGAGTAGATATTGTCGAAATGAGTGGAACGGTGGCTGAAAGCTCAGCACCACGGGTGCGAGTGGTGGTAAAAAAGAAGCTGTCGACGCAGTGAAATCGCTTAGACTCTCCAAAAGGTTGATGTTGATGTCGTCGAAGAAAGGCGAGAGACGAAGTTCGGATCGGAGGGGGGTCGATTTTGCTGTGCGCTTGTTCGGTATGCCCAAAGGAGGTGGAGGGAATGCAAATCGAGCGTGTACTTTCGCGCGATAAGTAAAAGGGAGGAAATGGAACGATTGGTAATGAACCTCGATGTTCTCGTGCCAGACGGTTTTTGCGAGGCCTGGAATGGGTGTGGCAGAAACAAGCGCTTGAAAAGCAAAACGGAGCAGAGGAGATAGATGATAATTAGAGCAGATGACCCAAGAGAAAAGAGAGACGAGACAGAATTGGGGAGACGAGACGTGTGACATGAACTGGCAGGGGATTATCAAGACCGGGGGATCCTGGTCGAAGGCGGAGTCTCAGAGACAACCAAGACGGGCTTTCGCGACGGAAAAGAGCAGGGGCTTTGGTGCTCTTGGTCCTGCAAACAGCCACTGAGCACGCCGCACCGCAGCACACCAGCAAAGACAATATGGTCAGGGCTCAATAGCATATTACGGTGGGAGCTAGGAGCACTTTTCGAGCCTTTTGGTCTGCGTACGAGTCGACACGCGCAGTAGCTGGATGTGATTATCGTGAGCTTTGATTGTGGCGGAGTTGAGACCAGAGCAGAATGGACAGCCTAGCATTGCCCAGCAGTCAGCGACAATCCATACGCCATCCAGCAAACGCAGGTACGGCGGGTCACTCCTTCTCTGGGCCAAAGGCTGGACTTCCCGTCCAGGGGTTATTGTCTCTGATTGGTCGATAACTGCACTTTGCCAAACGCTTTGTGACGCCCAGCTGCAGGGGTCCTGGTGACCACTAGTGCAATGGAACCTAACCATTGGTGGCATGAATCATCCTTTCAGGGCCCTGAGGCACAGAATGGCGAATTCTTATTACAGCTCCAGCACAGCAAACGCAACTGTAGTGTTCGAATCAGGGGTACATTGGACCCGACGGGCTCGGATTGCCTGTTCTAAAAGCGGTACGCGGTCCACCGATCCACAGGCCCATCTGATATTACCATTAGGGGCAGCCACTTCAATCCCAGGAAGTTGTCACTTTTTTCCAGCTATAGTAGATGGAAGTTCTGTTATAATGAGCTGAATGGTAAACACAGGGTAATATGGATGATGCATTATATTTGGTTTTCTCCTTGTGAGTATTACCGGCATGAGTATTTTACTATTAAATTCTCCAGTGCAACCTGCATACGACAGGCATGAATTATCTCACCTCTCACCTTGGGATTTCTTTCCTATCTTACAGCGCTCCCCGCCCTGCATACTACACTAATCACGGCATACAAACACAATTTACGCGAAGAAGAAAGGAAGATACGAGAGCCCATTTTTTACGCATGAGTTCTCGTTTTTTCCAATTGACCCATCACTCAGTTCAAGGATTACACGATATAATACGAGTGCTATTAGAAACAAAAATGCAAAACACCCAGGGCCAGAAATGCTACGCATTATCAACAAATGTATGAACAATATTCTGCAAGATTGCATATTTTCAGCCTAGCCTGGCCAGCTATGTAGCATTAAGTGTCCCATATGTCACCCATTTAACTCCCGATCCTCCAGGGTTCTGGTCTATATTTCTCTCGCCTAACTCGCTTTGCTTCTCCTTGTTACATATTCTCCGCAGCATAGCAAACAGTCGCTACAGTGCTCACACAATAGAAGTCTCGTCGTATTAATATCGGGCATCCCCGTGCTTTTGTTGCCCACTGCTACCTACCCATCCAATGGTCAATAACATGCTGGTTTGGCCGAGGAAGTGAAATTGGGAGAAGTAACTTGGATTGCCCAATGCAACTGTCAAAGACTTGACCACTGGTTGTATTGTGGAAATTCTCCGGTGATTGGATACCGTCTATGATTAAAAAGACGTGCTCCGATTCAGTCTCCCACCAACCATGATAACCAATCATTAGGCTGGGGCCTGTGGTTAAATCCACCAGCTAAGATATGAAACGCACCGTTGCACGCCAAACCCCTGATAGGTACAAGCTAACAACCAAGATTCATAAGCTGTGTTCTTATGATTTACGTACCTGCCCTTCTCGACTTCCTGAGGCGAGTTCGCTTTCGCCTGACATTCGCTTCGGAAAGACCCTTGCCAGAGCCGCGTTGGAGTTTCTTGTCTTGTGTGCCGAATTGGTTATCTTCATGGGATGTTGAAGAATCGGCGGGGAAATCCTCTGTTCTCCCTTGTCGATCCTTATCGTATTTTCAACGGTGATGACGATGGTTTCTCCCGCCTCGTGCCAAAACCTTACGACATCGTGATCGCGCCTTGTCCGTTCACCTTGAAGGGATGGAACTGCTTGTCACTGGCCGAAATTCCATCTTAGACCAGTCTCAAGACCAATTACGTCTGTTGTGCTCACTAACAGCCACTGCCTTGCATTGGTTGTTTCTTGATAGCCCGTGCCAAAATCTGCCAAAAGGCCAGATGACAGGCCAGCCACTACCAGGCCATTGGGTTATTCATGTTAGTCTGTGTAGATGTGCTGTCAGATACAAGGAAGTAATGTGTACGTAGTTATACTCTTGGTAACTAACAATCCATCCAGTGTCCGTCATTGCGGGCATGTCCCTTGTTGTAAAAGCCTCAGTATGTTCTTCGCTGTCATGGGAGGCTGATGCTGATATATGCAGCTTTTAGCTTCATCACCGGACGATTTTCTTAGTCTGCGCGCTAGAAGTCGTGAGTGACTCGCGAGTAATTACATGGGCACTCTAGTGTGGCCTGTTGACTTGCTTGTTCGTTGTGTGGAAAGCAGATCGTCACTTTAGAAGATGAGTCGGATATCTTCGAAGTGGAGGTGATCCAGACCGGCAATCAGAGCAACTACATAATAGGTAGCCAACGGCGGCAAGCGAAATGAACCGAGAGACATGACCTCATCAGATCAGACACCATCACCAGTTGCCAAGACGTATTTTAGCGCCCAGAACGATGGCATCGTCCCTACCCTATACCGAATAGATTTGTTCAATGTCGAATACTAGCGCCTTTGCTTCCAACTTGACACTCGAGTCTTGGTGTAGATTAATACCTGGGATATAATTCAAGGTTGCAAACTTGATGCGGAATGTTGCCGGCGAAAGTCCGTCTGTACTCTGCGGGTTTAAATCTAAATAGGCAGCTACTAAACTATGGATCAGCCTTTAAGATTCCGTACTGGTATATTCACATGATAACTATGACTACTCCCTAGGTACTAGCTAGATAGGTATATACAGGCCAGCATAAGATACTACTGTGGGCAAAACGCGCCAAAATGGCATTTAAAACAATCACACCGAGGCAGAGATTCTAGTATAGGTAGGTGTGTTACACGTCTTCACGATAAACCAATGGAGATTGGCGTTCAGTACGAGATAATGTTTGGTTAAAAGCATCTGCATGGTCTCAATCATGGTGCGCTCAATTCATTTTGGACAGCACCTCATTATAGAATAAACAACCGATCCCCTGCGGCCCCTGTGGCCCCTATAATCTATGTAAACCGTAAACTCCAATGTTCTAATTCATCGCTGCCTCCCATGCCTTCCATGGTCCCATTACCATACACCAATCTATGGCACACCGGCTGTAGCGAAAGCCTCAGCTGGGAGTTGTGGCTGGAGTACGTTTAGTCTACATTCATCGTCTTCTGGAGGGTTAAAATACATACCTTCTTCTCATTAAACATCAACAAAGCCTTGTCGAATTCCCAGTTGACTTGGGCAAGGCACATCTCAGAGTACTGGGCTGTCATGCCCGTCTGCTTGGAGAGTTCGACGATCATGGCCTGATGTTGGTCTGCAGGTGCTGGGGCAGGTGCCACAAACACATTTGGGAGCAGACTGTACGTTCGCAGCGAGAGCATGTCGCTGACGACCCGAATCATCTGTCCCGGTTTTCCAGGCCCAAGGACGAATGTTCGAGAGAAACTGCGCTTTCCCGCAATATTGGTACTGGGGTCTTGCTCATCAAATTCACCATGAACAGCGATGATTAAGCCATCAACGCCGCCAGTGCTCTGGCCACTGGGGTCGATCAGTCCCTGCAAGGGATGGCAGTCCATGATGTACTTGGTGAGCTCCTCTTTGATATTGGGGTGACGTGTAAGAGGGAGGGTTTTCCAGGCGTCTTGAATACTGGCAGCACCCTTGAAAAGTCGTTGGACACGAGCATTGGGGTTGGTGATTTTGGTCAGATTGCGGGAGAGCTTGATGTAAGATGACCATGAAATGGGGGGCGCCGCTGCCGGATCCGGGGCAGCTCGGGTGTCAATAGAAATGGAGAATCGACTTTCCTCATCGTACAATCTAGATGTGAGGCCGGGTCGGTCGCTATCATATGAAGCAAAGAACTCCAAGAGAAAGTTTTCACCAACGTTGGCAACGTCTCGGAAATCGGGCCCGTTTTGGGGGATAGGGGTAGGCCACATGGCAGCCTCCTGCGCAGCAATCTGTTCGGGTGTACGGAGTTGATTGCCGTTGACGTTCTGTAGTTTGGGGAACCATTCCAGAAGGGTTGCCAGATAATTTGGGTCAGCAGTTTCGATGGGGTTGCCTGTCATGAACAATGTTTCGAGGAACTTGAATTTTCCTTTCCATGGCTGGAGCGCTTGCATGGAAGCCACCTGGTTGCCACTCATGTCGAGGTTTTTGAGGTGAGGAAAAGTCGTGGCGATGATCTCGACTTGTTCCACATCATCAATATTGTTGCTTGCCAGGCTGATGCTTTCGATCGCTTCTTGCTTTTCCTTAGAACTCTTGAAGAGACTCTCGCATACAGCCATAAGCCCCTTGAACGTCTTGAGAGCTCGGTCACGGTTCTCGAACATGCCAAGAGCGACAAGCTCTGCGTCGGAAGCCAGGGCGTCCAACCTAAGGAGCTTGTTGTCACCGACATATCTTGCACTGAGAATTTCTCGAAGCCTGCCACGAAGCTCCGTAGTCTCCTTGGACTCCACCACCGCACCTCTGGCCGGAATCTCATCGACCTTGATGACCTCCAAAGGTGCGCCAGCAAACGTAAAAGAGTTGAGCTTAATCAGCTCCTCAGCATCCTCCTCAGTCGCGCCTACGTAGACGTAATCACCAACGGGATGGTGCTACACCGAGTTAGCAGGCGTTGTTGGTTATGGTTAGCACGGGTGCGGGGGTATATAATTATATAGCAGATTTCAATTTCAGATCGATACATAACTCTCCGAGTCTCGCATAGCCGAGTCGAATATTCCGCACCTGAGGCCTTGTCAATGACAAAACATACCTTTTTGATTGCGACCTTTCGCTTTGAATTTGTTCGGAATGATCCGGCCTTCCGCTCCATGAAACCAAGAAGATCGTTGACGCCGCCCCCAGAATTGTTGGCTGCTTTGCTTTCCTTCAAACCGCCGACTCGCAGCAGCGTAAGGCCTGTCATGTCTCGGGACCGGGTTTTAGGAGTCCTGCCAGAACCAACGTTCGAAACACGAGAGGCGAGGGATCCAGCAGTGCCATTGGTAAGTGCTTCGATTACATTTTGGGCCTTCTTGGAAGGACCTCCACGCGTTGAAGTACGGGCACTAGAGCGAGTAGGAGTGGATTTGGCGGCGGTGGTAGGGGTTTTCTTGGCACGCCGACCGGCATTGTCCATATCCATATCGCCGTCGCCATCAACGCGACCAGCCTTGCGCTTAGAGATTCCGCCTCGTGATGTGCGAGTGGTGTTTCGCGCCTCGCGCCCGGTGGTATTCTGACGACCTCGAGGTGCCATCGTGGCGTCAGAGGGCAGGGCGAGCAGCAGTGGTATATTTTGTGGTTGGTTTTTTTTTTTGGTAGAAGCAGCGCAGGTGGTTTTTGGTGGTAGAAGCAGCTGACTTTTGTGGCAAAAGCAGCGCGGTGGTTTTGTAGTGGTTTTTTTTATTTTATAGAGTAGTACAAAGAAGCGCAAGCAAGCTTTGTAGTCGTAGTCTTGCAGCGATCTCGTGAGTTTTATGATGAAAGAAGAGATATGCCCAGGCAATTCTTTGTTCGAGAAAGCCCAAGCTTGTAGGTCCACTGCCTAGAATGTGACCTTTCAACCAGAAGTTTGATCCGTCATACCACGTGACATCGCGTGTTTCAGTGGCGCGGTCTGGAAACTACAACGCGTCCCTTCCTTTGGAAGCTTACCTGCTACCAAGGTACGCCAGCTGCTAACGTCTATCATTTCTTTGTCACTGAACCACCACCACAAGCAAGGGTATCGCAGTTGCTTGTGAGTAACTGAACATGTTATGAGACTTCGATTCAGAATACGATAAGAAATAAGCAAAATACTTGGTGCATAACAGCATATCTTGTTATCATGGATAGCGACGAATTTGACGATGACATTGCAGATGAAGACTTTTTGACAGCCCTCGATCAGGTCTCTTCTTCCATGAATGGCCAAAGTACTGCAGCATCTTTACATACTGTGGTGGGTCAGCCCAGTAATCAGAGAGCCTCTGCAACTGTGGCGGCCCTGGAATTGGAAGATCTCCCATCAGATGCATTCTCATCACCAGAACAAAACCATTCGCGACCAATAGCACCTGCAGCAATACCAACAGGAGCTACTCCCAGGACAGGATTGAACAAGATAAGTTCTGGCAATTGGCGTCAGACGACTCTTTTCGGCGGATCTGTGGCAAACGACGCTCCCCGGCCACCACAGCCGGCCTCTGCAAGGGTGTTTCGTGCAGACCTCCCTCGGGAAGAGCCAACCCATCATGAAGTTGATAATGAAGCTATGAAGACATGGGTGTTTCCGACGAACCTGGGCAAGACCCGGGACTACCAGTTCAGCATCGTCAAGAACAGCTTATTCAACAATACCTTGGTAGCATTGCCAACTGGTCTTGGAAAAACATTCATTGCAGCAAGTGTCATGCTCAACTTTTACCGATGGACCAAAAATGCCAAGATTGTATTTGTCGCTCCAACAAAGCCTCTTGTGGCACAGCAGGTTACTGCTTGCTACGGCATCGCTGGTATCCCTCGGTCGGAAACGACATTATTGACCGGTGAAATTCCTCCGGTACTCCGTGTTGATGAGTGGGCGTCTCGTCGAGTCTTCTTCATGACCCCTCAGACTTTGCTAAACGATATTTCTCATGGCTATGCAGACCCCAAGTCTATTGTGTTGCTAGTCATCGATGAGGCACATCGCGCGACGGGAGAGTACGCATATGCCAAGGTCACAAAGCTCATCCGACGATTCTCCAAGAGTTTTCGAGTACTGGCACTGACTGCTACGCCCGGATCCAAAGTTGAAACGGTGCAAGAAGTAATCGACAATCTGGGTATCTCACATTGTGAAATTCGTACCGAAGACTCTATAGACATTCGTCAATATGTTCACTCAAGAAGTATTGAACAGGTTGTTCTCGACCCATCCGACGAAATGGTACTGGTCGGTGAGCTTTTCACGAAAGCCCTGAAACCAATGACCGATAAGTTGAGTTCGCAAAACATCTGGTTCGGACGAAGCCCTATGGCTATGACGACATTTGGTTTAATGCAAGCTCAGAAAGAATGGTTTGCCTCTCGAGGTCGACACGTCAACCAAGGCGTCCAACATATGATGCGAGCTGTTTTCACCGTTCTCACAAGCATCGCACATTCTATAAAGTTGCTCAATTTTCATGGTATAAAACCTTTCTATGATAACCTTGTCGACTTGCGTAGCGAGCAGGAAGGGAAAGGAGAGAAAGGATCCAAATATAAGCGCCAGCTCGTCCAGGACTCCAACTTCCAAGAAATGATGGATAAAATTTCCAAATGGCTTCGCACCGACGGTTTTGTAGGCCACCCTAAACTTGCAGCCCTGGCAGATACTGTGTTAAATCACTTCATGGACAATGCTGCAAATCCTGCGACCCGGGTGATTGTTTTCAGCGAATACCGGGACTCTGCAGAGGACATCGTACGCATGCTCAACAAGCATCGGCCTCTCATCAAAGCCAGTGTCTTTGTTGGTCAAGCCGATAGCAAGCGAGGAGAAGGCATGAAACAAGCACAACAAATCGAAGCCATTGACAGGTTCAAAGATGGCGAGTTCAATGTTCTTGTCGCGACGTCCATCGGTGAAGAAGGATTGGATATTGGACAAGTGGACCTTATCGTGTGCTACGACTCTTCAGCGTCACCAATTCGAATGCTTCAACGAATGGGACGTACCGGCCGAAAACAAGAGGGAAAAATTGTGCTACTCCTCATGCGAGGCAAGGAGGAAGACCAGTTTGCCAGATCTAAAGACAACTATGAGAAGATGCAGAGCTTGATCTGTGAAGGAAGTCGGTTCAACTTCCGATTCGATTTGTCCACACGAATCGTCCCTAGGGAATTTCGACCGGAGGTGGACATGCGACGTATTGAAATTCCTGTTGAAAACACACAAGACCCGTCGTTGCCAGAGCCAAAGAAGCGGCGAGCGCCAGCAGGGAAGAAGAAACCACCAAAGAAATTCCATATGCCGGATGGCGTGGAGACTGGTTTCCAAAGTGTGGCCAGTATGCTGAAAGTCGGTGGCAAAACAAAGCCAACCAAGTCCAAGCGTAACCCGGAACTCGATGACCTCTCCACAGTGCCTGAACTCACCAAGGTGCTGCTGAGTGACGAGGAGCTTAAGGAGCTCAACCGGGCGTATCGTGACCTACCTTTCAATCATAGCGTAATTGAGGAAACGGACATGCCTGATATGACAGCGTATCCAGAGCTACAAAGACAGCTGCGGCCGGTTGCAAAGCTTAAGCATGGGACTCGCACCAAGCGCTTTGTCAAGATGTGGAACAGGATGGGGAACGAGAAAGAAAGCCTTGTCCTACCATGTCGTGATGAAGATACAAGCAATTACTTAGATATTCCTGTTCGTGCGTTTGCTGGATCTGACCCAGAAACAGATTCGGGATCTGACGGCGAAGCAACAATTTCGCGAAGAAAACCGGCAAAAGTAACAGCGGCTGCCAAAAAGAAGCAAACTCGAAAAGCGCCACCAAAAGCGCCACCCCGAGCAAAGAGAAGGAAGCTGTCGCCAGATGCAGCGCCCCGGACGTTTGCTCTTGGTTCCATGGTAGACGAAGGCTCGGACGAAGATGAGGAGGAGGACGAGGATGAAGAGGAGGAGGAAACTCTACCCAAGGCCCGTGGACGATCAAAACATGGCGCCAAAAGCAAAGGCAAAGGCAAGGCTAAACGGAAGACTGGTGGCTTCAATAGCGACGAGGTTGGCGATGACTGTGATCGTGATAGCGACCTGTTGGAAACGGATGGCTCGGACGATGGCAAAGATCTTTTGGACTTTGTCGTTTCCGATAATCATCCAGTGTCGAGCATGAAGGACCCGATGTCTCTAACATGCACGTCTCCGTTTGCTTCATCACCTACTGTGAAGGGTGCAGATGACAACGCTGGAAGACCTTTCTTTGTGCCTACCATGTTCTCAGCAACACAAGAGAGCGAGGATTTGCCAGATCTGGGCCGCATGCTTGACAAACCAAGCCAGACAGCAGTCGAGCAGTCGGATGACGACGATGGGCGAGCAAATCGAACAGCGCGTGGACGACGAAACGTGGTTGATGACAGTGACAGCGATTTGTAGGATCAGTTCGGTGGTTGAATAGTCACGAGCTACGGGTGTAATATCAAGGCACAAGCCAAACAGTGGTACATTAATATCTAGACTTAATTATGTATGAAGGGACGAATCATGACAAAGACATCGACAGTTACAACTTATAACCCTTGCTTGAATTCTCAACATTGATTGTGTAGATTCCTGTTATTGTTGGTCAGCTAACTTGTCATGGAAGATAATCAGACAAAACCAAGTGACAACATCTCGAAACATCAGAAACCCATTTTATAAGCACCACCACCTCCGACGCACCCACCAGGCTCACTGACTGCCAGCTCAGTATCATCCCCGCGTGCAAGCACACCCGAAAGTGGTGCACAGCAGGGACAAAGGTAGAACGTCTTGTCAGGAGCTTAGCTAGCGGGTACATATGCCAGAGGCAGTCTCAGACGGCTCTTCCTATAAGATTATGGAGGGTTGAAAACAATGAACTCATCATGCGAGATTCGTGCGGTATACCAAATAAGAGATTTTTGAGAACTTACGAGAAAGGGGGTTCAACGCGGGCGATTCGTTGCTGTTGTTTAGTATCGCGTCTTGTTGAAGATGAAAGAAAGAGAGACGAAAAAATCACGAACTGCAGTTTTCTGTTCTGTAGTGGATCACATATTAGTAACTTTAAGCGACACAGTGATCCACTTGTTGGCTCTAGACGCGGAAGCGCCAGACGCTGTGTATCACCGCCACAAGAGCCCCTCATCTTTCAAGCCACAAATGGCAAGCTCGATATCTCAACGTCACTACCCGATCTTCGCCCGCATCCCAACTCATCACTTCATTCTCGTTCTTCCCCCTCTTTGGAATATCTATTCTTCTTTTTGGATCATCATCAAGAGAATAATACAATCATAATTCGTGTTTGATACGGGAATCAACCGCCATGTCTGCGACAGGAACGAGCGTTTCGCTCCTCAAGTTTGTGGGCACCGTCTCGCTCGGCTTGCTGACGGTATGTCAAAGTTCCATCTTCGACTTTTTGAACTTGAGTATCAAGTAATATTATTGGTCCATATCATAAAAATACTTGCGGAACCTCCAATGATACTTATTCTTGGGTCTTAAAGAAGGACATTGTTGGAAGATGACTTATCATGTATTGCCATATACAACCCATATCAGTATCGCTAACTCTTTGCTTCTAGGGCGTCTCATACTCCATCTCTTCTCTCGCTCTCCCTGCTCTCCTCCGACTTCCTTCCTCAACTTCTGCCTCTCACGGTCTTTCCACCCTGACTGCGACCCTCAAGACACCCGTTCTGGCCCTCACGTCTCTCGCTTCTGCGCCGTTCCTCATCAGCTTTTTCCTCGCTCCCCGCTCATCTCGCCATCCCTACCTTCTCTACACAGCTCTCCTCGCCACCCTGTCATCTGTCGCCCCCATGCTAATTCCCACACCTGCTCCTCGACGTGCTGCTTCATCGGCACCTCGAAAGTCTTCGCGTGCTAAGATGGAGGCTAGCTACGAAGTCCTAGGCGATGCTCACAGTGAGCCCGCCAGTGACGAAGATATTGAAGACATTAACGGCGAGGAAGTACGAGCTGAGGTCGAGGGTCTTACACGAAGCTACCTTGCCCGAACCGCTATCTCGGCCCTGGGCTTCGCTATGGCAGTGGTCGGTATTTGGGGCGATGGCGCATCCCAGTCTGTTGTCTACGTTTCATAAGAAGGACATGCAGTTCCAAATTGCGACTTTGTTTCTGTTTACATAAATTGATAAATATTTCAAACATAAGGGCGGGCGATATACCTAGCATTTAGGACCATCTCCGATCAATACTACTTAATAAAACAATTTGACCTAATAGTAAACTTTGCCAGCCAAAGTCCTTAAATAAGTAACTCGAGTTCTCAGTCATAGTTCTTTCAATAACAAACAATCTGATTTAAATATCTTAAACATGTTGAAATAGTTCAGGAAGGCAGTCTTACGCATCACTATCGCTTGAGGAACCGCTGTCTTCTCCAGGCTGCTTGTTGACAGGCCAAGCCCAGGACAGACAGGAATTCATTTGCTGAACTGCAAAGTCAACAGTTGTGTTCTCATTCTCTTCGGGATCCTCCTCTCCATCCTCAACGCGAGCCTGGACACTGAAATATCTTGATGCTGAGTACTTCTCGCCCAGTCTCTTGGCAACATCGTTGGCCTCGTTCAAAGTCACCAATCGGCGTTTCCCAGGGTACTTCTGCATCGCCGTGCGACAGAGATCCCACAAGATTCCCCCAATAGTCTTGTTATCGAGACTCTTATTTGAATGCTCCTTTTTGATACCCATAGCGGTCCGAATCAAAGAGACTTCGTTCGCCTTGTAATTGTCGCTGAGCCCGAGAGCCTCAAGAAACTCCTTCCTCTGCTCTGGAGTATGGGCCTCAATTTCGACCTCTCGGATGAAATTCTTAGGGTCATCTACTAGAGCATCCCTGACACCATCCTTTCGGCTTCGACCAGGGTACCCAGGCATCTCGAACTTCTGACTAGTGAGCCGGTCATGGGCCAGCTCAGCCGGAGTTCGACCAACGGCATTCTCCCGGTATACTAGGCTTGGCCTGAATTTGATCAAGGCCTGAGTCAGGGCGATCATGTCCATCATGATTGCAGTGTGAAGACATGTATCGCCTGCTCCGTTGAGCATCTCCAGTTCGCCGCCCTTGGAGTATTCGAGAAGGAGATTGAGCATCCGGATCATTTCCTGCTCCTTGCCATCGTATGCCCCTCTATACCCGTAATAACGGCGGTGGTAGGAGTTGGTATTGTCGGGTTGAACCCCCGAGGCTTGGGAAACCCATGCATGCAGAGGCGTGGTTCCGTTCTCGGCCAGGTTCTTCTTCTGCAGGAAAAGATGGCTTCGAAGGTCGGTATCAAGGAGGTCTAAAAGTTCGCGAAGCTGGTAATCCTTGGGATTACAGGCGAGCGCCGCGTGTAGAATGTTCTCACCCTTCTGGTTGCGAGCAGATTGGTCGGCGTTGGCTGATAACAAGATCTTGACAGCGTCGATTCGTCCAAGACGACAAGCTACCATAAGAGGTGTGTCACCTTCGGTGTTCTTCTTCTCAATTGCAGCTGGGAATGTCTCGGTGAGGAACTCGAGCACCTCGTTTGAGTTTTCGCCAGAATTGGCCAAGACCGCGCAATGGATCACAAGCTCATCTGGAATAATCGTTAGTGTCTTGTACAGGACAACATGTGAGAGTATTTACTGTCAGCTCCGAGCCACTTTGAGATCGCACGGTCAAAACCACCAGGGCTCTCCTTCAAGTGCTTGAATCGATAGTCCTCCTTGGAGGCCTTGGATTTAGCAAACTCGCCGTATAGCCTGTGCGGAGCATCTCCCAGGAAAAACTCAACGCTGTCTAGGTTGCCAGCAAGAGCGGCATAAAGAAGAGGCGGTGTCCTTGGACCGCTGCTTCTGGTAACCATGCCACGTCCAGCAGTGGCCCAATCCTTCCTGTATAATTGTTAGTGTCAAACTTGCAAAATAGGGAATGCCTTAGATCCGTACCTCTTTCTTCCATACACAGTCAGTCCCTGGTAATAACGTGGTCTTCGGTTCAACTCCACGCCGCTCTTCTTGACAAGGTGATCGAGTGGAATGCCTGCGCCTGTCTGCTTGATAATCAAGGCAAGCATTTTTGTTTTGCCATGATCGACAGCGTACCTGAAGCCGTCTTGTGGGAAAACAAAGCCTGTAGGCGAATCATCGTCCTCTCCGTCCTCTCCGTCATCACCTTCGAATTTCTGGCTCGAATAGTGCTGCGCCAAGTCCAAGAGAAACTTGAGCCCGGTCATGTTGTCAACACACAACATGTGAGTAAACAGGCTGGTGTTGATCCAATGATAGAAGAGCCTCTCGTTCTTGACTGACCAATCGGTTGGCACTGATTGGCATATGACTTGCAGAGGCTTGGTATGAGACTCAACGTTCAAGTCAACATGGCCAATATTGTCAATAGTGAACTGTTGTTGCACCTTCTCAGACACGATTCGTGGTTCGCCGTTCTGAGAACCATCAGAATTGTCAGAATCTTCACTGTATTCCTCCTCCTCCTCATCATCATCGCCGGTGTCCATTCTGAATCGGACCTTGTCCTTCTTGGGTGGAGACCACTGTGCTTTTACAATCTCAAGCAAGGATTTGGCCACGTCGTAATGTCCTCGAAGTACGGCAATAGAGAAGGGGGTGTTCCCCTTGTTATCCCAAACGGCGATCTTCAGTGGTGCTTGGTCCTGTTCTGGGCCCCATGCTTGAAGTGAGAGTTTCTTGATCTTGTCAAGATCTCCAGTCCAGGCCGCTTCCATCCTATAATCAGTTAGTACAGTTCACTCACTACTCGATGGACCATCAGGTATGTGTACTTACAGTTCAATATAACCATCTCTTCTCCTTTCGGTCATATCGCGGTCGTTGTTGAAAGAGAAGCGATACTCAAAAGGTTTCGGGTCCTTGTCGTCTGACCTTCTGCTGCTTCGGCTTGAATCGTCTCTACCATTTGTTCTGATATCAGGACGCAGCTCTGTGAAGGGCTTGGCACCTCGACTTATAAGAGCTTCTTCTACAGCCTCAAAGCCAGTAACAAGCTCTTTGATTGCCTCCCGCTTCTCGGACACTCCCTTGGGTTCTCGATTCTTCTTGATCTCCTTTTCGTACTTCTTCTTTCCTTCGACGAAGTTGTATCGATGCTCTTCAACCTCGCATGAAACAAGAAAATGAGAATATGTGCCCTCAGTGTGGCGTTTCAGGAAGTCATCCAAGCCTGGCGTCTCTTTTGGTTCCACTGGCCCTCGCTTCTCGCCTCTGTAACCTCGGAGTTGCTTCAGCGAGGACCGAACCAAGTCTAGAGCTGAACGCCCCTTGTTGTAGTCCCGTCGGTACTCGTTGAAGATTAATTCCTGAGTTGCAATATCCAGTGGGTTGGGATCAGCGCCGTTCTCAATTAGCTTGATTGCTATATCAGTGTTGCCTAACCGAATAGCCATAATCAACGGCTGCTCTGTACTCTCACTGTACATTTGCTGATTTCTCTCTAAGTCTCCTAGGCGACCGCTCATATTAGAAACTTTAGCGGATTTGAGCCACGTATCGAAGTCGATTTCGGATTTAGCGCCAGCGGCCAGTAGCTTCAGGACCAAGGCGACATCGCCGTTCTCAATAGCGGTACTGAGAGGTGCGATGGCCTCTGAGTTCCAGTAGCTCCCGCTGGTGATCATGTGATTTATGGCTACCTTGATGCCTGTTTTATCGTTGGCGAGAAGGGTATCGACGAGGTCTTCTTCTCCAGCTTCGACGTAGCGATGAAAGGCACTGCACCCTCTAGAGTCGGCCTGGGCAGAGGTGGCACCAAGTTTCAAAAGAAGATTGGCCATCGACTTGGCCTTGTCGTTTGGAAGCGACAAAGCTAGAACCAAAGTGAGGATCGCCTGAGCATCGCCGTCCGCAAGAGACTTGACAGGAATAATCGAGTCAGACCCAAACTGTGCAATGTGTTAGCAAGATATCCATGAAAAGTGAGTGCAGGCATGACGATTATATTAAACTTACATCGCAAAGTGTTCTAACAGCATCTTCGTGGCCCTCCGCAATTGCAAGATGCAGAGGAGAACATTGGAGGTCCCATGCCAGGGCGTCAATGTCGAAAAAGTCGGGTTCGTCTTGCGACTCGTCGGGAACCAGATCTTCGTCATTGTCACCTCCAGCTTCTTTGACCTTGACAAAAGATCCTGTGGTCATAGAAACGGCATCCAAATCTGTGGCTTCGCCATCAATGAGCTCTCCATCAGAGTCTTCATTGGCCTCAGATACAGCATTTTCCCTTGAGTCGCTATCTTTGGTGCCAGGCACAGCCTTCTTCGCAGCCTGTCGCTTCTTGTCTTGACGCTCTTCTTCAGCTTCTTCGTTCTCAATTGACTTTTCCATCAGAATCTTAATCATTGATGAGTCGCCTCGTGACGCAGCTAAATGAAGAGCAGTCCTGCCGTCTGCTAGGCGAGCAGTGAGGCGAGCACCATGGTCCACAAGGCACTTGACGACCTCAGGAGTTGATGCCATGACAGCAAGGTGGAGCGGTGTCCTGCCAGTGTAGTCCCTCTTGTTCGGATCGGAACCTTCCTGGCTGAGCCAGTTTGACACATCTTCGACATCGCCATCGACGATGGATTGGCAAAGTCGTGTAACGTTTCCGACATACGCCATGTCGGTCCAATCATTCTCGGTGAGGGGGTTAAAGGAGCCGATTTGCTGTCGGCCAGGATTGTCGATCAGGAAAGAGACTTTGCCTTTGATGTATATCTCGCCCTCTTTTTCTGCGACCTCCTTTTCCTCCTCAGTGATAGGTTCGGGACAACAGCCACAGCAGTCTTCAATTACGTCCTCAACACGCCCAAAGAATGCAGGATGTCGATGCAGGTACACTTTTCGTTCGTCGGGCTGGTTCCACTCTGCATTGAGAAGTAGATCTCGTGTATAGCAGAGCTTCTCGATCCGCTTGGCGTTGAAGTGTTGTCCATAGGGAACTGTGAAAGTATGATAGTTACTGACATCCTCCTCGGACAACCAGTCGGCAACCTCGTCCTCGTGATAGTCTTTGATGTTGCCATGGAGGACTTGGTGTTGCCTGTAGACCCTGGGGCGACCTCGCTCCTCCCTTCTCTTATCGAGATAGGTCTCGCGAGCCGTCGTGGTAGGTAACCTCTCCAGGACGAGCAGACGAGCCAGGCCTAGAGTCCTCCGGAAACTGCGCTCAAATATGGTAGGGTCAACTTTCTCCCTCGAGAAATCAGGGTAATAGATTTCGAATGCTCTCTTGGAGTACTTGGAGAGCCTGTTTTCGTAGCTGGGCGAACGGCGTGTAAGATCGATATGGTTGATCTGAGTGATGAAACTCCCAAGAGCTCTGGGTGTGACATAGACCTAACACTATTCAGCGAAAAGAGTGAGTGAAGAGGGTAAAGGGAAAGCAAACCTGGCTACCGTTGTAGGCTCCTCCGGCGGCATCGATGTCAAAGCCAGTAAGGATTTCGCTGACCGATTTGTAGACACGCAAAACGATCTTAAAATGACATTAGCACCCGTAGCGCGTATGAAAGCCCGAGAGGAACTGACCTGGATATGTCGGACGGGGTATTGACTAGCAATCGTGATGGCGTATTTGGTCCTCACTACGGTGACCTCATTGAGCAGGGCATCCTTGACAGCCCGTTCGATTTTCTTGATCTTCTCGATGGCTTGCTCATGGGTGAGTCCATAGAGAAAGAGGTCGACATCAGAAGCAGGGCAGAACTTCTCGTGGTAGTACTCGCGAAGCTTACGCTTGGTTGTATTAAACTCTTTGGGAACAGGGAGAAGACAGTTGACAACCGAAGAACCAGCAGCTACCACGTTTGACCAGTCCAGGTCGGTCAGAGATGACTCTGAAAAGATGTTGAAGTTCTTTTGGAACTCGGCCAGGTCGGCAACGGTTGCGGGGGAGTCATGAGGGCGACGTTTCTCATCAGGGAGGGCCATGATGTACTTGGACTTTTCCTCTTCAGACTCAGCCTCGAGGTTTCTGGCTCGAGTAGTGATAAACTTGGTGTCTTCTGTAAAGAGAGGAACCACATTGAGGTAAGGGTCGTCAAGAAGAGGGTTCTGACGATCCTGGGCATAGACGGATCGCAACTCGGCTTCATACTTGCGGTATGGCTCAAGTATCTCGGTGATTGGCGTATCTTTGTGATCAAAGATGTACTTGGCCAGTTGTGAGTGAGGAGTGGGAAGCTCAAGGAGATTGGCCATGATTGCGAATTTTGGGAAATGTGAGAGTAATAAGACGATGAAAGGTGTAGAAAAGTAGGAGGCAAGTAGATAGAGAGAGGGGTGAGGGGCAGAAAGAGTCGAGTGTCACACAAGTTTGGGAAGGAACTCAAGACTATAACCAGGCAACTGAGATTCTTGAATTGATATATATTACAAGTATATTCACCTGGAAAGAAGTTTCTGAAGCTTTATACAATAATATTCGGCATTGCTGACAGCTGAAGCTGTTCTAACACCACAACGGGACCTAGCTTATTACCCCACTACCATAAAGTAGATCGTCTGTTGGCGAGTAACAAAGACCAGAGGCTATAAGAAAACTTGACTTCTAAGCTTTAGGGTGAAAGAAATAAAGCGACTAAGAAATGGTTAAAAGTGAGATAAGTCGGGCCACTAATTTCGTCTCTCATTACCATTGTAGTCGAGTATTTTTGGAAGCCCCGCAGGCCAAGATAGATCGCGTCTCCTAGCGCGTGTTAGTGACTTACAAGGGTCTATGCTGCCTAAAGCATCAAGGGTCCAACACGCGAAAGCTCGTGATCTTGGGTACTACAAGTCCATCCGACCCGCTGATGCCTGGTTCTAATGGCAGAATCACCTTGTCGAAGCGAACAACAAGTGATGTAGCGTGAATATGCATCGTTGCTTCGGTTTCATCGTGAAAGGTTCGGCGATGAACTATTTGGGTCAGATCCAGGCAGAAGATACCAATTGCTTGGATGAGAGCAATTGAGCACTCAAGACTCTGGGAATATTGTTTATCTCCCATGACCGTCGAATTTATGCGGCGAATCGAAGAAGGATCATAAAATACATCAGAAGAAAGTCTTGTCTTGGTACTGCGGATAAATGTCATGATGGCTTGACCAAAGGATACTGTTTTTGCATTATCGACAGTGCTTTGGTGCTTTAGTGTATATAGGTGGAGATGTCTTCAATTGCAGACGTTAAAGAATAAGAAGTGAACGACTAAATTTGACTAATTGATCGTTGTATCCTACTGGGTAGCAGAAAAAATGGCCTCCTAAGACTTAGGGTATAAAAATAAGTAGTCTAATAACTTTAGGCCAAGGGGCACAAAGTGACCTACTAATTTTGTCTTTTATGCTTCCAGCGGTTAATTTTTCTGATACCCTGAGGGTATCTAACCTTCGGTCAGATCCAGCCGAAGTCAATGCAATCAATCAATTGAATAACGGTATTACTTTGTGATACGGATACAACCTAGCAAATTAATTGCCGGACGATGAAGAGAAAAGAAAACCAAAGAAAAATAGGTAGTCGTCTCTACTATTTGCAAGAATCGGAATGTCGATACCTATTCATTACAGTTCTTTACAGGACATGAATCACGTGCTCTCGTACCTTCCACTCTATTGCCCAACGCGTGACGCGCCAGAGCGGGACAGTCACATCCCGTCTGGGGCACGATAACAAGCAAGGCCTTTCCAAATTCGACCTGTCCAACCAAAACGCCAACCCATAAACACCTCGATGTTTCTAACAGAGGCAGCTGAAAGACGCTCCTATACAATTGCGTCGGCTTCATGACTCGTAACAACCTTGCTGAGCATTTGTCCTGGCTGTTGAACGATCAAGCCCGCTCCAAGCCTGCAACACCATCTTTTCCAGTTTGCAGCGACTCTTCTCAGGCTGGCCTACCCCAATCCCAGCAATCAGACTCCCAAGTACGACAAACCTCACAGCCTGTTACATCTGTTAGCATTGGGGACGATCCTCAGTCCACAAGAGACGCGTCCAATGGACGGGGAGCACCGGCCCGAAGATTGCGGCAGACGGACCCGGTGATACTGGACGACGACGAAGACACAATGGGACGCCTCGTTCTGAGTTCTAAAGCCAAGAAGCCCAGTCTTGTCTCGAGACCACAGCAACTTCTTACTCCGACTTCCATCACTCCGAATTTTTTAAGCCGACAAGACACCCCCGTCAAACGGTCTAACGAGTCGCCACCCAAGAAAACGCCCGCCCCGGTCCCAGCCCGACTATGTACGAGCAGCCCCGACTTCCCAGAACTCAAGACAGGTGGTGTCGATTATATGGACCTGACCGACGATACCTTTGCTTCTTCCGATTCATTGTCTTTCGGTAGCGACGTAAAGCTGTGGCGTGAAGACTATGCGACTCGACCGGAGCTAGAGCCAGCTGTTTCGAGTGGTAGGAAAAGAAAGAGCAATGAGATTACAAAAGAGGAATTCAGCGACCTTGGCGATATTCCTGATGTCTACGAACTTCTCGGCACCGAACCTCCACCCCCTAGTCCGACTCGATCTGCCCGACGAAAGAATGGGACACTAAGTACTCGAACTCGGCGAACACGCGATGGCTTCACCAATCCCCCATCAACCATTATTCCACCGATTGGCGAGGAAGACCATGATCTCCTGCTGTCACCCTCAAGAAGAGTTCGCAGCCAGCTTACCCGCGAACCGTCACCTCAGAGAACGCTGCCAATTATTAGTGCCAGCCAGAGCCCAAGGAAAGCTACAACCCCCTTGAAAGCGCCTGACAGTTCTGGAAACTCTAAGCTTGTTCTTGGGGCACTGTCTTCTCAACGAGATACGGAGCCTGGGGGAGACGACCTGGTTATTCCTGACTCTGACGATGACTTTCTCTCACCACCTTCACGCCAGGATTCTCGAACCATTCTGGAGATTTCAGCCAACACAGAGTGCGCTGAGCCCCAGAAACAAGAATCGCCCGCACCTAGCGCTAGAATTGATCTCCATTGCAATTCGCAGCGCCAAATCTCTTCCGGCTCAACTGTCACTGGCAGACCAGTAGACACATCAAGTAGCTCACAGTCTACTAGATTGATTGTTGATGATTCTGTGCTCGACCCGCTTGACGAAACTTCATCTCACTCAACTCAAGAGCCAGCGCTTCTCAAGCAGTTGGCCTCTGACCCCTCCATCCTCACAAAATGGGGAGGGTTTATTGACAAGCTTATCCAAGATAACGGAAAGAAGTTTAGTCAAGCCATAAAAGAACGTTGGTCTAAACCGCAACGTGCAGAAGTTAAGGCGGAAAAGGAGCGTCTGAAGCGGCAACAAGCAGCTATTACTGAACTCGCTGGTCCTGTTGAAGATTACCGAATATTGGATGAGAAACGAGATCAGTTGGCCCAGAAGATTGAACGAGCCTATGCAGAAAGTCTCGACACAGACGAGGACGAAGTTCGGCTCGATGATCTTACTGACGAAATCCAAGAAACTGAAGATGGGTTGACTAAGATCATCCGCGATGCCAGGCTCGACATCGATGGGTTTCTGGAGACCCTTCAAAAACTATCGCATGTCTCTGCCCCTGCACCAGTCGTTGTACTAGGCACTCAGCCTGCGTTTCAGAGCAGTGTTAACATGTCTGTACCTCCACGAGAGGCGATTTCGGCTAGTCAAATGGGCACACAAGTGGTGCATCAGACTCAACTGCCCAGAACATCTTCTTGGAACCCTCCGGCTTCAAGAATTGAAGCGTCACAGGATATGAGTGTCCTTTCACAGGAGGATGACGAATTTTCTGCTGCCCCCTTTCCAAGAGACTCTGCAAGAGCCTCCAGAGTATCTTACCAATCAAGGGCAATGACGAGTCCTATGATGGATCACATTCCCATAGAAGCTGAGTTTGATGGTCTTTCGGACCTAGAAGATATGCAACCCCCTCCGCGGCCCAGGCCTGCAAACAACTCAGCATATCCAAGCAGCAGTCGCAGAACGCCTCAAGGGAAACATCACCGAACAGTCGAAGAATTTAGCGACTTCAGCGATGATGAGGAGATGCTTGCTTTTGCGCAGGACTATGAGACCCGTCAGTCGCTGGCTCCCAACTCACAAGACTTCCGACAAATCTTTTCGGAGACTTCTGGCAATGCACTGCCATCTGCAAAGTCACGGACTTCTTACAAGAAGCCTCCGGCGACACCAGAAGCAATACCTTCTCAGTTGATGAAGTATCCGTGGTCTCCCGAAGTCCAGAGAATGCTCAAGGACAGATTTAGAATGAAGGGTTTCCGGTGCAACCAGCTCGAAGCGATCAATGCTACACTTGGAGGTAAAGATGCTTTTGTTCTAATGCCGACCGGTGGAGGTAAATCGCTGTGCTACCAGTTGCCAGCTGTCATCAAAACTGGCAAGACCCGTGGTGTCACCATTGTGGTATCACCACTGCTCAGCTTAATGCAGGACCAGGTTGACCACATGAAAAATCTGGGTATACAAGCCGTTGCCTTCAATGGAGAATGTTCAGCAGAATACAAGAGGCAAGTGATGAGCGTTTTCAACGAACGAACTCCAGAACTTTTTCTCGAACTGTTGTACGTCACTCCAGAGATGGTGAGCAAGAATGTCAATTTCAACAATGGGTTGCAAACACTCCATCGCAAAGGTAAATTCGCTCGCCTGGTCATTGACGAAGCCCACTGTGTCAGTCAATGGGGTCATGATTTCAGACCAGATTACAAAATACTTGGCCAAGTACGCCAAAAGTACCCAGGCGTGCCTGTCATGGCGTTGACAGCTACTGCGACAAAAAATGTCATCGTTGATATCAGACACAATCTTGGAATGGACGACTGCCAAACCTTCTCACAGAGCTTCAACCGACCGAATTTGTACTACGAGGTTCGGCCCAAATCGACAGGCGAGAAAACCATTGAAAGCATCGCATCGCTCATTCAATCCAAGTACACTAACAAGAGTGGAATTGTTTATACAATCTCACGAAAGAATGCCGAGAAGGTGGCTGAGAGTCTCTCGGATAACGGAATTACGGCCAGGCATTATCACGCAGGTTGCGACCCTCAAGAAAAGGTTGAAGTGCAAAATTCCTGGCAAAGAGGTCAAGTTAAGGTTGTTGTTGCAACAATTGCTTTCGGGATGGGAATTGACAAACCGGATGTGAGATTTGTCATACATCACGGACTCCCCAAGAGTTTGGAAGGTTACTACCAGGAGACGGGTCGTGCTGGCAGAGATGGAAACCCGTCGGACTGCATTCTTTTCTACGGCAAAGCGGACATAAGAGTCCTAAAGAAACTGATTGCCGATGGAGATGGTAGCCATGAACAGAGGGAGCGCCAGATGTCGATGTTGAACAGAGTCACAGCATTCTGTGACAACAAGTCTGATTGTCGGCGAACCGAAATTCTTCGTTATTTTGGTGAAGATTTCTCCCCTACGGAATGCAATAAGAGTTGCGATAACTGCAAAGCTGGATTGACTTTCGAGCAACAAGACTTTTCAGAATACGCCATTGCTGCTATCAAGGTCATACAGGCCCAGCACCGTATCACAGCAGTGCAGTGTTCTGACATTCTTTTGGGGAAAAAGTATCCCCAGAATGAAGCAGAACTATCTGAGGAGTGGCACGGCATGGCGAAGGGTTTAAAGAAGCACGAGCTCATTCGGGTGATTGACAAACTATCTGCCGAGAAGGCTTTCAATGAGGACAACCAGGTCGGTCGGCATGGCATGGCGATTCAGTACTTACGCCTTGGACCAACTCATCGACTGTTTCTTTCGGGCCAGCGTAAGCTGATGTTGTCCATTCAAGTACCAGAGCCAGGTGCGCTAAAGAAGGCAACCAAATCTCGAGCCAAGAAGGGCAAGGCGCCGGCTGAGGAGGAGGTCTCAAACATGCCATCGACGTACGTCTCTTCGCCTGTGGGCCGTCAGAAGAAGCCACGAGCAACAGAGAGTGACCGTGGGAACAACGCGACTGCATCATACTCGTGGGAAGATGCAGGCTTTATGGTAGACGATGAGTACGACGAGGACGCATTCGATGAGCTCCCGCAGCATCGACCGGCGAGACCATCGTCTCGTACTCCAGGCCCCCCTATATCGGTTAACACCGGCTTGGAGAATCTAGACGAGATACACCGAGACATGGTCGAAGGTTTTGTCTACGAAGCAAGACAAGCAGAGGAAAAGATTCGCAACCAAAAGAGCTTGAGGAAGCCACTTTTCACGGAAAAAGATTTTCGGATTATGGCTATCCAATGGACCACCTCACTTGAGAAGATGCGTAGGATCCCTGGTATCGACCCCGACAAAGTTGATGAATACGGATCCAGGATCATTCGCATACTGCAGAAGCACTACAACCACTACCAAGAAGCGATGGACCCTAGGAACGGTGGCGGAGGCCAGGATGTTGTAGATCTGATCAGCTCAGAGGGTGAGATGGATGATGAAGATGCCGATGAGGACGAGGACGGTGAAGATTCACACTATTTCAATGGAAACTCCCGACCAGACGTCCAGGCGTTTCACAACAGGCTGCAAAGCCTTGGGAGTGCGCAAACCCAAAGCAAGCCAAGGGCAACCAGCAAAAGTGGCGGAGGTTCCAAAAGATACTCTGGCGGCAAGAAGTATCCCAGCAAGAAGTCCACAGGTGGTGTGACAAAGCGTAGGAGCACCGGTAGCAGCTCTGGTCGCAGAGCGGGCAGCTCATCGACTGCCGCCAGAGCCTCAAGCAGTGGCTCAAGAACACTGAAGAAGGGGGGCATTGGGCTGATGCCCATGTAGGAGGAGCAGAGATCAATTGGCCTTTTTGATTCACGAGCACACGACTAGAGCGGAGGATGAAGGAAACGGCGTATATACCAGTGCGGTGGAGAACTGCAGGATGGACTATGAGCTTTTTCGACGACATGCGCGCTTGCTTCTCGCTACTAAGATCATACCCCTTTGCAGCGGGGCAAAGCAAGAAAGAATTGACATTCCAATACTAGAAATCATCAAAACTGTTTATGAGCGGGCGGGAGTTGATGGTGGCTTTCTTTTGCATGGGTGGCGATAAAGGGTTTCATTCGATTTGTTTATTTTTTCCAAGGACACGACTCTCTCAATGGCGTTCACGGGACGCCTCACATGAAAAAAGAGCTTTGCATTCGTCCAGTTCTGCGGTTGTACATGAAGGAAGCAAAATCGCACTGCAGTGTCGTACGTGCCTAGTCTTGAAGGAACGAGGCTCAACTGTCACATAGACACATCACGAAAATTAAGAAAAATTCAAACGATGACTTAACCACTTATACTTCAGGGATTGTTTGTACTAAACGATCTCTTTCTCGATGAATGTCCGCTATATAAAAAATACAATATCAAAAGAGAGGGTATAGCGAGGTATAGCTGCGGATACGATTCATCAAAACTGTCCCTCATGTACCACCTATCTTGCTGCGTGCTGATACCCTTTCCTTTCATTCTCGTTACATGTGCATAGGATGCGCGAGCTGCTATAGAAAAAAAGGAAAGATGTTCATCAAGGGTGATGGATGACTCGTAACTAAGGACTGCAGTCCTCACAAAGAAAACGGGATTCTCCGTTGTCGTCCCTTACGCTATGTCCCAAACTCCGTAAACCATTTTGGTCTTAACCTGGTACGCCGTGCTGCTCAAAAGACGTGTGTTTGTTGTTTCTTCAATGGCGCGCCAGGCCCCTTAACAACCTTGAGGCGATATATGTGGGCCTCCAGTAATTTGAACGAAGTTAGATTGTTAGAACATATGTTACATAGAAACAGTAAGAATGAAGGCTCATACTGTTTCGAAAAGTGAATATATTGTTATGCCATGATATGGTCAATACGTGGGGTTTTCAGTGCCTCCACCTTGGCTTTGTATCCTTTGGCTCGGCTGGAGAAGGTTTGCGCATGGCAGATCGCGCACCCGCTAGGGCAGCGGGACTCGCTCGTCCCGTGTCCGATCTGGGCTGGGGGAGAAGACTGATCCTCCTCGACACGGTAGCAAGAGAGCTGGCAGGTCTGCTATGTGGGTTCTCGCCGTCATCTCCAATGGACCTAGAAGCCTGTAGAGATGATCGTCTACCAGAAAGAGCAGTTGTTGACAAATGAGATGCCAGACGCGGCTTTGGCAAAGGCTGGCTATTTGAACCATGGGAAGCAAGCCTTTCTCGGAATGACAGGCTCGAGTGGGTGCGCCTGGTGGGTGTTTCAACTCGGGGCGACGCTGAAGTGGCGCGAGCGTCAGGGCTGCGTATAATAGGCAGTCTTGAGCCACTGGCCCCGGGTGTAGCTGAACCAGTTGATCGTTGTACAGAGGGGCTCGTCTTGGCATAAGGGCTCGGTGTTGTTAGTGTGAGTGGTTTGAAGTTGTGACCAGTATCGACATCCGCTGTATTCGTTGAGCTGTTCCAACGCGGCCGATTTGCCAGTTTTGAATCCGGTCGCTTGATTTGACTTGCTGCCGATAGGTTGCTGACAGATGAAGAGCTGACTAAAGTAGAGAGACGAGAAAATCCTGATTTTCTGCCAGTTTGTGTAGTTGGCGCTGGCAACGACGAGTGCCGGCGATTCGGGGGGATTGAGCGATTGTTAGCTCCTGGGGTGGCCCGCACCTTTGGAGGCTTCATCGGCGTATGAGGATCCATTCCCAGACTAGACATTATGACTGATGATGGTGGTGAGCTGCCCGGTGTCTCACGTCCACTGCCCAGGGTCGAGCGATCGTTCGACAGCATACTGGAGATGGAATCACGCAGCTGTTGGCTCTTGTCTGCATGGAGGTCTTTGACTATTGACTCGGCGTCTTTCATTTGTTGTTTGAGATTCTGCCATCGATTTTGCAAATCGGTATGTAGGCGTAAAATCTCTCCGTTGACGGTCAAGCGCTCACTTACGCCTTTGTCAATGATTGAGAGAACGCGCTCGATAGCCGGTCCGTAGTGCGTTCTCTTGGCCTCATAGCTCTCCAATTTCTTCATCAAAGCAGGTTGGTTAGTCAAATGCAGACCAGCATCGGCAGCTTCCCTGAGTTTGAGCAAGGAGCGTTCAACAGACTCTTGCATCTTCTGAGCCTGTCGGCCAGCGCCTCGGAATACAATGACCCAACGATCCTCGCCTAACTCCTTGCGCAACGATTCTGCATCCTTCTCTAGCTTTCTATAGCTTGCATCAAGCCCGTCACGTCTCATATTCAACTCTTCGCAAGCTGTGGGGAAAGCCGGCCGAGCTCGTGCTTCGAACATAGACAGTCGCATCGGTAGGAAGTCAAGAGAGGCTCTGAGAGGCTGCATTCGAGCAAACAGAGCTAGTAAACTCGAGTCGTCCTGAGACAACGTAGGCGTGCCAGGTGAAGTAGGGGTCACTGGGAAGGTCGGAATGCTGTAGCGATTTGGTGCTTGCAACCGCGATGCATGTGAAGGATTCTCCTCGACAATTGTCTCAAGGTCTCCGATATCGACACTATCCGCACTGGCGGCAGCCATTAGGCTCTTGTGACGTCGTTCCTCCATCTCAAAAACCAGCCTGCTTAATTCGTCCATTTCCCCTTGTACGTCACCAAGAACATTGTTCCAAAGCTCCTCCCACTCCATGGCTATCTCAACTTGAGCCCTCACAGTATGTAGTGTTCTGCGAATCTTGCTCCATTCTTGGATGACCGACTCCATCTGAGTAACAGCACGAACAAGATCGTCGGCGGATACGTTGCCAACATCCTTCCTGTTCTGAAGTTGCTCAATCGCTCCCACATAGGCTTTAACAAGTCCTTCGAAGCGTATGATGGCCATTTCCACCTCGGCGAGGCCTTCGCGACCACCTGCAGCAGCCCATTCTACATCATCTTCGCTATCGAGACCCTCAACCACCTCCGATGCTTTGGAAATCCAGCTCCTGATTTGCTCGGCAGCGTTGATCAGCGCTTTCGCAGCGACTTGAGCGGTTGGGATGGCGTTCACTTGGCTCGCTAGCGATTCGGCATCTGGAAGCTGCAGTGACGTCAACTGGGCGAGTTGAGAGGCGAATGAGGCACGCGATAATGTATATATGGAGCCTGGACGATTGTGACCGGGGGTGAAGTACGAATTTAAGTTGGGAACATATTCGGTAGAGGTTGGCGCAGGAGAAACGACTGGTGGTGTATCCTTTGGGGGTGGTGGTGGAGGAAGATCTGCTCTGTCGGGGGATGGGGGACGTGTGGTTCGTTCGATGTGTTCTCGTCGAGTGTCGAGAGTGACCTTTGTTCCATTGCCATTGGTGTGGTCTGGAAGGCGATACTTTTGAGTGTCCATATCCAGGGGCTTGCGATATTCGATCTCAGGTGGTAGGGTCACAACAAACTCGTTGTCCTCGATGGTTAACGACGACAGCATAAGAGAGGGCTCGAGGGCGACGGGCTTTGGTGAAGAAGAAGCGCCGGCGCCCTTCCACGGGCGACCGCGCCGAGAGATAACCGATTTGATCGAACCCGCTTGGTGCTTCTCGTCGAGCTGTCGAAGTTGATCCTCGTCTAGGCGACCGATATGATCGATTTGAGGTGTAATCGGGGACGTCGATATTTTTGTAGTGCCAAAACCGAGAGCTTTTAATCGTGCAGCCAATCCGGGAGAGGTCTTGCGAATGTTAGAGGAGGGTAGAGGTGACGTTGGAGTAGGGAATGGGTAAAGAGCGTTTGTTGATGTTGATGTTGTATTTGCTGTGGTGGAAGGGGTAACCGCGACGGAAGCGCTAGGAGTCGTGTTGGTCGTGGATACAGTGGTTGTGGGTGAGGCAAAATTAGTTGTCGTCGTGTCAATGGCAGAGGATGAGGAAGTGAGCGAGCTGGAATTAGGATCCGGGGCGCAGGTGGATGAGGGATTGGATGAACCAGGGTTGAATGGCAAGTGAGATAGTTGGCCAGGGACGTCAGCGAAATTCAGCAGGCCGCCTGCGGGTGCATCATGGTCCCGGTCACTGTGGCAGTGGTCGCTGACGAACTGGCCCACGTCGATAGATCGGTTGGCTTCAGGGCTCGCAGCAGGTGTCGCCAAAAATGGATCTGCTTTTGACTGGTTTTGGACGGCAGATGTCGTCGCGTCCCGATTTTGGGAGTTCATTAGTTATTGGGATTTGTCCCTTTAGAAGAAAAGGAAAACGAGGGACGACTGGCTGAAAGCCCAGGTTGAAGCGCAGATCCAGGTCATAGAAGCCAGGATCTGTTGTATGCGTTTGGACCTTAAAATCTGTAAGCGAAATGCTTTCAGGTTCTCGTCAGGTCAATCGTCGAGATCGAAAATAGAAAATAAGAAATAGGACAGATTGGATCAAGTTGCGAGCAGTGGTCAAAGGGTGTCCTTATGCCTCTCCCTCCTGGCTTCTGTCTCCCTAATAAGACGAATGAGAATGTCTTGCCCTTCAGTGCCACAAATCACTAGCCCAACCATGCGAGATCCACTATCATGATACGGATACTGCGCAGCTGTTGTAGCTGGAGGTCAATGACAGTGTCGTGTCAATGACAATACCAGGATTGGAAGACAGGTGGTTGGTGAATTGATGGGATGAATGAATGCTCTGTCATTCACATGTGGATGTGAATGTACACAGTGAGTCTTGGGAGGAGCAGAAAAGTTAACCTGAGCTTCGGGCTATACGGATGAAAATTAATGACCAAAGAACATGGTCTAACAGAGTATAAAGTGACTTACTTATTTTGTTCTTTGTACTCGCAGTAGCGTTGCTGTCAGTGGGGACGGGAGCTTGAGTGGAGTTATGATGAACTATATCTGAGGGTCTCCAGGTGGCCGCAAGCCGCTGACACGATTGGAGGTTGAATGAACGCCCTGCAAATGGAGAGAGCTCCTGCGGGAGAGGAGAAACAGTGCTGACCACTGAAAACCGAGTCTCTAACAGGGTGTGGATCAGTGATGAATTGGCAAATACCAAGCGATACTCGTCACAGCCAGTCGAATTGACTGAAGGCTGGATAGTCTCAAGCTAGAGCCAGGCAGACAAATGAAAGGCCCAGGCGGCAGGATAAAATAGAATGGATTTGCAAGAAGTACGAATGACTTAAACAAGAGCAAAGGTTATTGCTCAAAAGAAAAGGAAGGAAGAATATCGGTTGTACCGCGTCGTACTCTGATCAATTACAAGCCAACAGAAAGTATTGTCTGATGGGGTTCGAGAGATGAAAGTGTCTGGCGGGGACAAAAGGGGGCCAGTCAAGCGTTTCGGAAGATGGTCGTATTGAGAATAAATGAGACGTGTCCAAAGCAGTGGATTGTAAGAAGTGAGGAGCGGCGGGCGATGAAGTAAAAGTAATAATAAACGTAGAAGAAATTCTTGCTGGCGAATAGCTACTAAGATGGTCTAAGTTATTGGGTCTTTAGATCAGATCCCAAAATGGAAGGGTCAAAGGCAATGGGTCAACTTGCGGCATGATCGACCAAGGCTGAAGTAAACCTGTAACATCAACACTCAGGGAAGCTCCATCACTCTAACTATTAGCTTGGTAAACCAACAGACATCATTATACTTGATCCGGCCGCCATGTCCTTCTGTCAAAACGTCAAAGAGTCTGCAAAAGGAAAAGGATAGTTTACGGAACGTTATTAAAGCAACACACCCTGGATCATCACTGTTCGTAAAGAAAGAAGGAGAAAAAGAATACGAACGGATACAAGATGTTGCATCCAATCTAACACTACCACGCAATACAAGACGCAAATATTAATGCCGATGGACTAATAGATTGACGGGCACAGACGGGGGTGATACTCAACTTACCGGGGGGTTGGATCAGATGAACATTGTCGCCACTTGGAAACTATTTCTGATATGATCCAATACTCAATCCCCGGTCACTGGTCTCGCCTAGCAATTGACCAGCTATGTAATTAGCGCCTACTAACAAGTTCATAGATGGGTTAATGTCGATCAGGTAGCCGTGTTGATAGTGTTGTTAGTGTAGGTAGAGACGAAGCTTGTAAAGTGGACAGCAAATAGAGACGATATGATATCTTGGAACATGCTCGGAAAAGGAAAGATATCTTCGGAAGCTGTATGTGTTCATGTAAGCTAATAAGATTTAAAGTGTTGTACTATGAACAAGGGTTGTTGATATATGCAGATATGCAGGTGTAATAATCTGTCATAAAGATTGGGCCTAAAGATCGTCACGAACCATAAAGTGCATATAATACGATGAATGCTTTCATTAGAGTATAATTGACGAATGACTGACAGCAAAAAGACTGACCAACCTCTTTTACGCATAAATCCAATAACAGAGATGCATATTAAATCTCGGGGTCATCCTAGCGTTGTGTTCGGGCTGGAGAGTTGAGAAGGGTCTTGGTCAGTCATTAGGATCATGGATCGATTCTGAAACTCGTGCTTATCTCGCGATATCCGTAGCAACGGAATTCCAATCGATATCAGGAAAGAAGAACGAAAGACGCTTGGCGTTAGGGGTTTACCATCAAGTAGATAAGTAGTTGTGCATTGGATGAAGTTCAAACTCAATATTCGTTTGTGTGAGGTTGCCTGGGGATATAATATTGGAGTCGTTCTAGAAATCGTAAATCGTGATAATAAAGAGCTATGCTGCTGTTTGCGTCGGTCTCATGGTACCTCGATTGACTCCATGTTTTAATCCCTGACTTTTGTCCTGTGCATCTTCTGGCTGTGGTGTAGTGCAACTATTGTCGTGCAACCAGTCATCGTCAACGCTCCCTTTCCTTTTTGTCTCGTACAGAAAGAAGCTTACTGCAGAGTCCATTGCCGTTCCTGTTCCTGTTCCTGTTCCTGTTCCTGTGCCTGAGCTCCTTTGCCTGCATTTGGTGTCACCAATGTCGATCTTTAACCTCTTTCAGCCCAAGCCATAAGTAAATATTTGGTTACCCCTTTGTTGACTGACGATTAATACAAGGACATCACGATAACCATCATATCAGCAGACCAACTCTCTGATACTGATCGATTCGACTCACTTCCAATACACCCTAACACCAAACGGCTTCTGGAAGACACGGATGCTCCCTCAGATCCTTGTTCAACTTACCAGGGAAAACGGAGTCACTCGCCTGAGCTCTCACGACTCTACTATCCATCGCCGTTAATAATACACAATTCACCCCTGTCGAAGTCCCCATCTGCCTGTCCAGTCCAGTCGGTATTAGCGAAAACGGATGAACTGGAGCTCGTAGCTGGAGGCACAGGTCCAGTGTAATTTCGCCCGTGCCTGTCCCGCCAACCATTCAAAGTCAAGCCCGGCCTTTTCACGAGCCAGGGTTGCCCCATCCCCATCAACCCCCCCTGGAAAGGAAATCATCCATCCATCCAATTGCCCCTTCACTCACCTTTCGGCTCTTTTTAATTAATCTAATTCCTCTCCCCTCCTTGTCCTGTCCTGTCCTGTCTTGTTCTGTCCTGCCTTTTCTGTCTTCTGTCTTTTGCTACGGCACCCTTCCATAAACTGACTCTCGTTTCTTCTATTCGCTCTCTCATCCTCTATATCGCTCTCTATATTGGCCCAGCCCAGCCCAACCCAGCCCTTGCCCCATTTCCCTTAGGCTATTGCTGCAACTACCAACCGAGCTATCTTGAGCAAGCTATCGTGTCGAGTGGGACTCATCATCTCTTGTGTTTGTGCACCTGTATAAGCGCAGATCGTTATTCACATCGCATCACACATCACGTCACGCACGAATTATCGTCCACAAAATAGCAAGGCTGATTCCCCGACGGTTCCTTATCATACAACGTTGCACATCAACATTTCCAGCTGCATCACTATAGCACTAGACCGGCCGTTGCCTTGTACCACGGAGCAAACACGACATGATGGCTACCACCAACAATCAGACACCGTTACTCCGCTGCGAGTCGCCACCTCCAGACGCCCTGCCAACACCAGCCCTCGGCGCATGCCCGGAACTCTCTCGCTGCTTGTCGACAACGTCCTCTTGGTCTCATGGCAGTAACGATGCCAACTCTCGGGATTCACTCGGCATCGAAAACTACAACCGTCACTCCACCGGCAATCTCGACATCAACAGCATGAAGCAGCGCCGAGATGTATCGACTTCGAGACACTCCAGCTACAACCTAGATGGTCGAAGCCGTCGTCGTGGCTACATGCGGCCACAAGGAACAGATTTCGCCGAGAGTGCACGATCTCGTGAGAGTGTCATGAGTCTCGGCAGCATCGCACATCTGCAGTACTACTTTGCCAGAACAGGCCTACTTGATGGCAAGGGTGGCCAACTGGCCAGGAAGAAGCAGCGACGTGCAACCCTCGATCTCTCATCCTTGGATACCAACACAGGCTCATTACCCAACATTGTCGGTTCAGATGTAGATTCCTATGCGTCCACCAGTAGCAGCCCAGACTTTAACTCGCAGGGATTTGGCAATGACATCGTCGAATCCCCCACAACCGAAGATATGGAGGAGTTTTTCGATGATACCTTCAGTGATGTTGGAGGACACATGCTCCCCCCAACTGTGAGCACCTACCATCACCGAGAAAATATAGTCCCGAAGCCGCCTACTATTATGGAGCTCAAGTCGGAACTCGAGCAAGCGCTGGGTGATGCAAAGGATGCTTTGGACGAAGTAGAGGCACGAAGAGCCGGCACTTGGGAGACACCGGCTGATGCCCCTGAATATCCCAACATGCCAAAGGAGCATACCCAGGGGTGGTTTGAGCTCCAGGGAATGCACATTCTGGATGTCGTGACACTAGCAATTCGTGCGGCAAAGATGTACTACACAGCTCATGAGCTGCCCGACCGCCTTGACTCTATTAAACCCGAGAAGCAGGTCAGGGCGGACCTTTTGGCTGTGATGGAAACTCTGAGACAGATGGCCACTAGGAACTTCAAGGAAGGCATGAGGGATGAAGAAATCAAGACGATGACTATCTGGATTGACAGTGTGTTTGACATCTTGAAGCAGGAGCAAGAGATTGAGGATGCTGAGATTGCTGAGCGGGATGGATGGATCTGGGCCAAGGGCGATTGGACTGGCCGTGAGTTGGAGCGAGAGCGACAGTTCCTCTTGTCCATGGACACCACTTCTGAGCCCTTGCCTGAATGGGAGCCCATGTCAGCTACAGATGAGAAGCCCACGCCTTTTCTTGAAGCCATGCAGGACGGTGTTCGACTTATCAAGCTGCACAACGCCGTTGTACACAAATCACGGCGACGATTTGGTTCTATCGGATCATACCATAGCGATACCCAGAAACCCTACCGCTGTGCCGACAACCTGCGTTACTGGGTCAAGGCGGCCGAACTGCGCTTTGAGGTTATGCTCAAGGTTGATGTTTTGGCTGTTCAGTACAACACATCACCCCAGGCCTGGGTAGACTTCGAGACTGCTATCCTCAAGTGGTCTCGCCACGTTCGCGATGAGGTTACCCGCGAGTTGGCGCTATAGCACAATGCCTCCAAACAGACATTCTTTTGTTTTTTTCCACAGTGATCGAGGGATATGGCCAGCTCGATGCACTGATATTCTAATGATTGGACGTTGAGGATTCCCCCCTGGAGTTTTGTCGGTTTTATATTCTTCTTATTTTCTTTGTGTACTATGTTTATCATTCCTCGTTCTGGGAGGAAGAATATTACATTAGATTGCATATTGTGCAGCGGAGGATTCTTCTTCTTCACCGACATGATGGAAGCGCCTTGGAACATTAGTATCCCCCTTTTTCGACGATTTGGGCTTGGAGAGTCCTTAATCACCCTTTTCTTAGAGAGAAAGAACACCATTACATTCTAGCATATACCCATTGCACAGGCCTTATGGAGATGAAGATATGTTCAACTTTAGGCAGTAAGACTGAATACAAACTAAACGAAGTAAAAATAAACACATAACAAATAGAACAATAGCTTCTGCAACTGCGTCCGTGATTTCAGAAACAACGTATAGCATCACATAGGAATTATAGGAGCAGCACAGGTCACATTTTCACTTGAGACATTAATAATATTAAAGTCATTTTCCAATTTTTATCCTCCAATTATTTATCTAGATAAAAGGTATTCGTGCCAAACCAAAAGCAAGCCAGAAATTCAAACTGTCGTGTACCAAGCCGATAAACAGGCTATCTACTTACTGGAACTCCGTCAAAAGTGTGGATATCATATCATAGCATACCGTATCGTTCCATTCCATTTCGTTCTCAAGTTCATCACTCCGTAGTAACCCGCCCTTACTCGATGTCGATCTTGTGGATCTCAGTCCACTCCTTCTCGGCCTTGGGGACACTGATGATCAAGACACCATCCTCCATCTTGGCAGTGATGCCCAGACCGTCAACCTCATCGCGCTCGTCAGCTCCCACAGGGGGCAGCGTCACGGTGCGCTCAAACATGCCGACCTTGCGCTCGCTAGAGGCGAGAGAGTTGAGGAAGGTCTCATCGCCAGGGCGGTGGACGACACCAGAAATCTTGAGGAGGCTGCGGGCGGCGTCCCAGTTGAGACCAATGTCCTCTTTCTTTGCGCCGGGGAGGGCGACGTGAATCACGTACGACTTTTCAGTGTTGAAGACGTCAATGGGTGGGTTGAAAGAAGAGTCTGATGATTCAGTGGTGGTGGTGGTTCGGTCTTGGTTCTGTGCCTCCTGGAACTGCTCGCGCATGTTGCGGAAGAAAGGATGGCTGGCCCAGCCGCGGAAGAGAGCAGGGAAATCAAAGGGACCACCATAGGGAGGAGGAGGAGGGTGAGGTCCGTGGTGAGGACCATGATGGGGGCCATGTCCATGAGGGAAACCTCCACGACCTCGTCCACCTCGAGGGCCGCCACGGCCACGACCACGTCCAGGCCACTGAGGACCAGCTCCGCAGTGGTTCTCCTCAGGGGCAACTTCCTCAGGGTCAGGGACGTTCAGAGTCTCCTCAGAAGGGCGGCTGTCAGTGCTGGTAGCTTCTTTTGGCTGCTCGCTGCGAGTGCGAGAGTCGGGAGTGTTCTCGCCGGCGAACCAAGGACCCCAGACGAAGCCATCGGCCTCGGGAGGTGGGGGAGGACCACGAGGACCTCGAGGGCCGTGATGGGGACCAGGAGCACCAACTCCAGGTCCTCCAAAGGGGAAACCGGCCATGAAAGAGGGAAGGGGAGTTTCGGTTTGGTGGTCAACGCCACGGCCGGTTCCCTGGTTAGGGTCAAACTGCTGGACAAAGTCCCAGAAGTTCATGTTGTTGTACGGATTCTGGTGCGGACTCATGATAAATGCGTGTGTATATTCAGTAAATTTGAGTAGTTAAATAGGTAGTGAGAGTGGTTGTATAGGTGAGTGAAGCTGGTGGTGAATATCATGTCATGAGGGTAGGTAGCATACGATTTATATAAAAAATTCTCCATATTAACTAGATGGGGCATCTCGTCCGCTAGGAGGCGAAATCTAGACACATGCGTAACCCGCATCGTAACCTTGTTTAGGCAAAGACACAGCACGTAATGGTACACGCTTCAAAACAAACAATCGAACCATTTGGGCATACAGAGAAGAAGGAAAATGTTTGGTTGTTCGGGACATTGTTGTCCGCGCGTCCGCTCAGAAGGACATTCGAGAGTCTCGCCTCCAAAACGTATCCGAGTCTGGGTTAAAGAGAGGCACAAGCGGTCCCGAAGATCCAATTAGACGCCCGGGGGCGAATAGTTGAGCCACACTTTAGATTTCAAGGTCTGGGCTGGTCCGTTGATTCGGTGCCGAGTTGCTGTGCCTCGCACTTTTCTAACGTGCGATGGGCGGGCAAACAAACAATAATCTGCCCGCGCTTGGAAGAGTGTAGCAGCTAAAGGAATCCATTAGCATATTTTCGCTGCCTAAAGAATGGACTAATTTGAAGAGGCCTAAAATGCTGACTCACTTGTTGTTAGTTCCTACATGTCGCTACATCAGATTAGATCGATCAGTCTTTAATAGCCGCGTGGGCTTTTGATGTCTTTATTGCGATTTGATTTGTTAAAAATATTTTAATTATTGGCTTAGGCACAGAGAACAATGACTCTTTGTCTTACATTTTCAGTTGTCACCTTACCACCCTGGCTTGTGATTGTCTACGTTGATTTCAGCTATCTCACCACCTAAATCTGCCTACTTACTACTCTACCATTCACTTACACGGCTAGTCTACGTCACCCATATTGCCTGTCACTTGTTTGCGCGAGCACCAAAGTCTACGAGGAATATCATTTTTTTTCTTAGGGGTGAAATCTTCAAGACTAATTCTGATGATTGAAACAAACCGGCGGAAACAAACTAATTTCTGACCTAGATCATTCAGCCAGTAGCCACTTCAGACCTTCAGCAACATCCCTCTCACGCTTCTGCGAAATCTCAAGTTCGGGAAACGTAGCCCAGAACGCATGAGGTAGGCCAGGATATATTTCGATCTTTGTAGGGACTCCTTCGTCCTTGTAGGCTTGCTCAAGAACAATGCTGCAGTCTCGCACAGGATCCATACCACAAGCCTGGAAGTAAGTCTTGGGAAGCCCTGCATGACTGGGAAAGGCAACTGGAAATGCCAGAGGGCTCTTCATATCGGGTTTATACTTGGCTGTTGTCTTTTAGTCAGTGAAACATTACATCGTAATGTGAACTGGGACAGCATACAGTGAACAAATTTCATCGACTCGGTGCTAAACACAGGAGCCTTGGCGCACTGCTCCCAACTGATGAAGTGATCCCTGTATTTCTCAGGAACGGTCTGATCATTGACTCCAGAGGTGATAGGTGCGTAGACGCCAGTCAGAGGGGGCTCAGTCTTGGTGTCACGGTACAAGTGCGAGACAACTAGAGATATATCCGCGCCTGAGCTGGTACCTCCAATGATGTAGCCCTTGGACGGGTTGATCCCGAACATGTCTACATTCTGAGATGCCTACTTTATTTTAGCAATCTTGTCCCCATTCATTATTCAAATACACCAGAATGTACTGACCCAAACAGTTGCATCAAAAGCATCGTTGATAGCTTGAGGGAAGACATGCTCAGGAGCATGGCGGTAGTCTAAGTTGAGAGCAACGCCTCCAAGCTTTGTAAATTGAGCACATAGCCCTGCCTCAGTCTCGAGATCACCTGCGACGAAGCCGCCACCATGGAATACGATTAACCCAGGGCGTCCATCGGATGGAGTATCGTCTTTTGGTGTGTATGATCGTGCATTGACTTCAAAGCCGTCTCGGAGAGGGATCTTGAAGTCTTGCATCTGATAGGAGAGAGTCTCGGGGTCAGGTTTAGGCTGGAACTGTCTAAGCTGTGCCATCATCTCTCTGAAAGCATCAAGATCAGTGTCCGTGTCCCAGCCGTTGAGCATTGGGTTATGAGCCCTTATGATCTGTGTTACTGTCAATGATTTGAGTGACTATGGGATCGGATTCAGGGACTGACGGGCTCGAACTCGGGGTGTGCATCTCCAAGCGCACGGGTTTCTTCAACAGTGAGCATGACGAAGTTGCTGAATTGAATTCTGGGATGAATCGATAGATGAATTGATGCTTGTTATGGATGGTATAGAGATTCGAGTTAAGAAACGAATGCTCTATCTTTATACTCGGAATGGACAAACTATTTGTTGGGTAGAACACCTGTATCTACTCCCGGATACTAACTGTCACATTGATTGATTATTGGCTATTCGAGTATTGAAGGATCACTAGGAACATGTTTAGGGGATGAGGTCTGAGTTGGTCTCCCAAATGATTGGATGTGAGTACATCTCCGACCTTGACACCAATAATTCATCACCAGGCGGGTGAGAATATAGTCTTGTCACCGGCATAAATCCGTAAATGCCGTTCAACAGTGGACCTTTGAATACTCCAGCTGAAGTCAGGGACCATTATCCTAAATTGGCAATAAAATGATGTTGAGTTTATCTACTCACCTCAACAAACTCAACATTTGACTTTATTTTACCTCAATCTCTAGTAGAAATGCGACATCTAAACAGTTGAGAATGACGTCAAACTCCAAAGCGCGAAGTCATCGCGACGCCACGTGAGAAGTAAACAGTGATTGGTCAGCTACGTCAATTCAGCTTAGAAATTCGCCATTTGAGAGAAAATGGCCTGAAGTGATGATATTTGCGGCCCGTACATTCGGTAACTAGCTCCAACGTCAACTTAGCCGGCTATTCTTTTTCTTACCAAACTTATCACTCTGCAATTCCTCAGATTATCTGCCTACAAATAAAATCATATACAATGGACGCTGCTCAAACAACAATCTGTACGTCTCCGCTTCATGCCTGTCTGCTTCAATTCCTGCTAACCCAACCCTATAGCCTCGCCTGTGAGCGCTGCCGCAAACGTTGCGTCCACTTCCACCACAGCCACCAACAAGCCCAAGGTGAGCCTCACCCGTCGACCACAATTGTTCTCAATTGCCATATTAACACTTCCTCTCAAAAGCCCTGCTGTGTGTGCAAGGACGAAAAGGCCAAGCGCGATGAGTGCATGCTCTTCTCCAACGCAAAAGACCCTGCCGCCGACTGCAAGTCTATGATCGACCAGTACCGATCCTGCATGTCGGGCTTTGGATTCCAGGTTTAAACAAGGCAAAAAAGGCGACGACTGTCGATGACGAAATGATTCCTTTGGTCACAATTACGGACCGTGTACAACATTAGACGGTATAATGTAGAATAACGGGCAATCCATGCATTTTCCTCTCCAGTTAACTCGGTGATTTCTGTCAGCAGTGGCGTGACTTTTCGAGTACGCCCAAGATATTACGAATGTCATAGGGAACAAACTGTACATTCTTTTCCTCCATCCTTGACCTGTGCTTCTGATCTAAACAGTTTGGATTTCATGAAATGGTTGTGTCGAATATGCTCTGGTTTCCCTCCGATGCCGCCCATCCACCAACGCCGACTATTAGATGACCCAACATGACAATCCTGCCGTCCTTCTCACGATCTTGCCTTCCTAGCATTGTCTTCTCTACCTTTGAAGCTTGCCTTCATCATGTCCTCCACTACCTGGGTTGTAGAGGCAACTTGGTCGACGAGTGTCTCCATCTGTTGTTCGATGGCTTTCCTGCGCTCAATAGCCTCGATAACCCTGGTGATAGCAGAAGCAATGGCTTCAAGTCTGGAAAGGGCAAGTGTCAGCTGGAAATTTAAAGCAAAAGCATAAAGGGAAATCTACTCTGTGGCATGTCGGTCTTGTTGAAATGCGACAACGCGAGAGCGCAAGTTTTCCATTTCGGTGGCTGTCTGCTGCACGATCTCAGACATGCGGTCATTCCTTTCCTTCTTCAGCTAATAGAGGAATCATTAGCTAGAGGCGGGAATGGAATATTGTTTGGACCTACCTGAATCAGTTTGGTTTGGGCTTGAAACCCGATTACGCCAGGGTCGCTTTCCTCGTTGCCTGTGTTTCCTCGTGCCATGATCAATTAGGTGGTTATTCCGATCGATGAATGAACGAAAGAATTATTCAGTTCAGATGCTGGATTTACTTCAGGAGAAATTCCATGTTGTTGTGATGAGGGGTGATTAGGTCAGTTAGGCAACTCGTAAAGAAGGAGCGACCTCCCTCAACAACCTACCTGCCTAGAAACAATAGTGAGTCTCCGCTATGAACCATCACGATTAAGTGTCGACCATTTCCTTTGACACCACCCCTTTCTTGGGTAATGACTATAGTAAATGTCGATATTAGATGGTAATCATGCCAATAGAACCTATGCAGACATGTCCTACCTGCTGCCTTCCAGTACAGATCGCAATGGTGGGAGACGTGGATCAGCTTGCCAATTACTGGGAGATGACTACTATGTACATCAAGGGGATTCCACTACGCCAAAATGCCATAGTCGCCTATGTCGGGCATGGCACTGCTGTCACTTGGATTATTCTCGAGGGTATAATCGGATTCTATACACAACTAGATCGGCCAGCGGTATCATCGATTATGGAAACTAGTGCATATATACTTCGAACCTTCCATCCCACTCTTGGTTGCCCGGTTTGTGAAGCCATCACCACATTTCTCTCTGTGCGCACTTGCCACCCTCTCGACACGACACACTTATTCATAGGCAGATATCGCCCATGGCCAGATATACAAAAAGGCACAATGACTAAAAAGAAAACTGCCAAGACTGGGGTTCGAACCCAGGCATCTCTCGATACTGCAGGATAACCTAGAAATAGGAAATACTTAAATGCAGCGCCTTAAACCACTCGGCCATCTTGGCGTTAAGAGTTTCAGGTCTCTACCTTCATTTATATAGACACCGCAGTCTGTGTAACTCTGAAGTCGATCAGTTTCAACGCTGCAACTCAAGCGTCACTAATGCCATTGTCAACTCCAGCGCCTTCTCTACAGACATTCTGCTACCAATAACGTCTCGCTGCTTTTTCTCCCAGTCATTTGATTATTGTGAGCTATCGAGCATCAACTACAAGCTCTGACGACAGGAGCCACCGAGAAGCAAATCCGCATATTCTCTTTGGTCTCGAGGCACTATAAGCAGTATCTATCCAATAGTCATCTACAAAATGTATATACCAGAGTAAAAAGGAAATTGTCATCACATATGTCAATTATGGGTGTCATTGACCCAGTCTATATGGTTCAATACTTTTATAGCAGACTCAGAACCCATTTTGGTATTTTCATACAACCCAAGGCAGATCCTGCTGAGGGGATATCTCACTCTATCGAGTCAAAGCAATGTCGTCTATCCTCAGAATCATCTTGACAGTCTCGGCCGCCAGCTCGATCGCGCTTGTGCTCACGAGGAGAGGTTGCAAGACATTCTCCTTAGAGATGTTGGTGTTGACACCTCCCGACTTAATACTAACACCGGCGTTCTTGTCGCCCATTTCGTGGCGGTGTCGCAGTTCTGTGACAACCTTGATGCTGTTCAAACCAGCGTTCTCGGCTAGTGTGGTGGGGATAACCTCGAGAGCATCCGCAAAGGCCTTCCAGCAAATGGCCTCAGTACCTGTCAAGCTGCGCGCTTGCTTGGAGAGCTGTGCCGCAATCTCAATCTCAGGGGCACCACCACCAGCGATGAGGGCCTTCTTCTTGACCAGACATCGCACAACACAGAGAGCATCGTGCAGACTTCGCTCAGCCTCCTCCAGAATCAAAGAGTTGGCACCTCGAACAACGACGGAGACAGTCTTGCCGACAGACTTGGTACCGGTAACCTTGATCATGCGCGATCCAGAAGACTGGACCTCCTCAACCAAATCAGCATATCCCAGCTTATCCTCGGTGAAAGAGTCAATGTCGGCAATGGGCTTGCAGCCAGTAGACTTGCAGATGAACTCAACCTCATCACGCTCAATATCCTTAACTGCGAGGATGCCAAGCTTGGCCAAGAAGTGTAGCGATAGGTCGTTGACGGCATCTCGTAGGATAGACTTTTGGATAAACAGGACGTTACACTTGGCCTTCTTAATCTTCTTGGCCATGTTGAGAAGGTATAATCGCTCCTCCTTGACGATCTTGTCCATCTGTCGGTAGTCATTGACCTGAATGGTGTTCTCCATCTGTAGGTTGTAAGTAAAAGTTTATAGCTGGCTGGTGTAATAAAACTTACATCAGGCTTGGGAGGGCTCAGCTGGAACTGGATGAGACCAATTCGAGCCTTCTCCATACGAGCAGGACCACCAGCGTTCTTGAGGGCAGGCTGAGTAAGGACCAAACCGTCGACAAGCTCACTATCCTCGATCGTTCCACCAACTCGCTTGACAATTCGGATGTTCTTAAGATCAACGTTGTCGGCAGTCTTCAGGTCGATAGTCTTTGTGACCGAGTTCACCGCCATGGGTCCGAGCAGGTTCGAATATTGTGACACAATCTTGGATGACAGAGATGTGTTGGCGGCTTGAAGAAGCGAAGAAGTGTCGCTAAGGGTGATAGGAAGGGACATATCGTGAAGAACCTCGACGGCAGCGGCGGCAGCTCTTTGGAACGACTCCGAAATAACGGAAGGGTGAATACCCTTGGAGAGGAGTCGGTCAGCAGCACCGAGCAGACTGCCACAAATGACGACGACAGAGGTTGTTCCGTCACCAGCCTCGACATCCTGAGCACCGGAAAGGTTGACAAGCATCTTTGCCGTGGGATGCATGACAGCCATGCTCTTCAGCATAGTGTTTCCATCGTTGGTGATGATAGTTTCGCCCTTTCCACCTCGAATCATTTTATCCATACCTCGAGGACCGAGGGAAGTTCTGACGGCATCGGCGACGGCTATGTAATCGTTAGCCTAGTTGAAGTTTGTTGTTGGATCGAAAGCGCCATACCTCGGGCAGCGACGATGTTGGAGGAGCGCACCGCCATGGGCTTCTCCTTATCCTATCCATACAGTTAGCGGGGTGAAGCTCAAGAGCTTGATTCAAGCTGTCCATACACGAAAAGTAGCATTGCTGGAAGCACCTGCTGCAGATGCAGAAGCCACGGCCGGTGCAGACATTTTTGAGAATAAATTAACGGTCGCTTGAATCCTCAAAGTAAAGAAGTGATGTTGATGGCGGGGCTTTGAAGGAAACACGGCTGAACTTCTTGGAGATGTCCCACCTCCCCTAGGCTGCCCTACTCCGCCATACAATTGTCAACTTAGAAATTTTGGATCGGGGGTACAGATCATCCAGCTCCGAGGGGTTCCTTGAGCTAGCCTTCTAAAGGTTAGAGGGTCTAGTGCTGCGTTGCCTCTGCCAGCAGCCACTACCAATTGCGTGGGTCCGTGCTCCAAGCTCGCTCAAGGCAACTCACAGATTACGGAAGGCCTTCGGTGACACCTCCAACTCCAAACAACTACGGCTCCAGCATCGACAATTCGACTCTCATTCTCCCACATAGATATCTCGTCATCGCCCACACTCCCAGATATCAACAAATCTTATACTTGCAGAAGTTTTAGACGATAGGAGACTTGCGGATTTCATCATGGTCAGTTGGCGTGCCATGGAAGCTCGACTGTGTACCATACTAACACCTGCCCCAGCCTTCCGCAACCGGCTCAAACTGGGAGAAGTACCAGAAGACTTTTGCCGACGATGAGGTAGAAGAGAAGAAGATCACACCTCTAACAGATGAGTACGAACCGCTTTATCTACAATAGTAATGCGACTGGTCAACTAACTTGCTACCAGGGATATCCAGGTCCTCAAGACCTACGGTGCGGCGCCTTATGGAACGTCTATCAAGAAGCTTGAAAAGCAAATTAAGGAGAAACAACAAAGCGTCGATGAGAAGATTGGAGTCAAGGTTGGATCCATCACGCTTAAATCAGTATGCCATATTAATCTTGATAGGAATCCGACACAGGACTTGCGCCACCGCATCTATGGGATATCGCTGCCGATCGCCAACGAATGTCCGAAGAGCAGCCCTTTCAAGTAGCTCGCTGTACGAAGATTATCGCCGACGAGAAGGGCGATGAGTCCAAGAGCAAGTATGTCATCAACGTCAAACAGATCGCAAAGTTTGTCGTACAGCTTGGAGAACGGGTCAGCCCCACGGATATCGAGGAGGGCATGCGGGTCGGTGTCGATAGGAACAAGTACCAGATCATGCTTCCGCTGCCGCCCAAGATCGACGCGAGTGTAACGATGATGACCGTGGAAGAGAAGCCTGACGTCACCTACGGCGATGTTGGTGGTTGCAAGGAGCAGGTCGAAAAGCTGAGAGAAGTCGTGGAGATGCCCCTGCTGTCCCCCGAGCGTTTTGTGAACCTTGGTATCGACCCTCCCAAGGGTGCCCTGCTCTACGGCCCTCCAGGAACCGGAAAGACTCTTTGTGCACGAGCTGTTGCCAACCGAACAGACGCTACCTTTATCCGAGTTATTGGTAGTGAGTTGGTCCAGAAGTACGTCGGTGAGGGTGCCAGGATGGTCAGAGAATTGTTCGAGATGGCTCGGACAAAGAAGGCTTGCATTATCTTCTTTGATGAAATCGATGCCATTGGTGGTGCCCGATTTGACGACGGTGCTGGCGGAGACAATGAAGTTCAACGTACTATGCTTGAGCTAATTACCCAGCTTGACGGTTTCGACGCCCGAGGAAACATCAAGGTCATGTTCGCGACCAACAGACCCTCGACATTGGATCCTGCCCTGATGCGACCTGGACGTATCGATCGAAAGATCGAGTTCTCATTGCCTGATCTCGAAGGCCGTGCCAACATTCTCCGCATCCACGCAAAGTCCATGTCTGTTGAGCGAGACATCCGATGGGAGCTCATCTCACGTCTTTGCCCCAACGCAACAGGTGCTGAGCTGCGCAGTGTGTGCACTGAAGCCGGTATGTATGCCATCCGCGCCAGGAGAAAGGTTGCCTCGGAGAAGGATTTCCTCAGCGCGGTAGACAAGGTTATTAAGGGCAACCTCAAGTTCAACTCTACAGCGACGTACATGCAGTACAACTAGATATGTTCACCATAGCGAGAGGTGTAATTTAATGCGGTGTATGATTAGAGGGCAATTAGATGGCGGAACTTGAACGTCACAATGAATTAAATTGCTTCTGAAGACACTTCCCCTGAATGAACTGTTATACAATGTTACTACAAGTCGTAGTGTTCGAATTGCTATGATCTCAATCAAGTCTACCTAACGCTATAATAAAACCCAAATACGTCAAAAAGGGAGGCCTTCAAGGCCTTTTGTCCGAAACACCATTCATTACCCTCCATCCATCATCTAACAATGCCATGCCAGTAATTCCATGCCGTCCGGTTTTTCCCATTCAAAATCAATATCCTCGGCTTAAGCCTCCTGTATGGCAACGAAGATACGCGCCCAGCGCACGCCTGACAAATAATCATTATCCGTAACAAACGCCATGTATGTCGTACTTGTTCCAAATCATGAACCTTCCATCCGAGAGAAGCAGCCCAAGCATGTTACGTCTCCTTCTGTGCCTCGTTCAATACAGCAGCGGCTGCATACCACAGCCTGATGCCCAACAGCCTTCCATCCTTGGTTCGATTGTTGTTGCCCGTCCTTTGCAGTGGCATTGTGTTGTGGTTCATCGTCCACATCATCCATGTGGAAAGACCTTGAAAGCATTTCTTGCTCCGAAACTCCAGAACCCCCATCCATATTCCATCCGTGACATTCGCGAAGGCATACAAAGCAAGTACGCTCCCCACAGCCTTGGCAGTCAGCAAAAGAGTCGAGGTGTGTTTTTTTGGTCGGTCTGCGGTGGCAGATGTGGCATGGAGCAAGAACGTTTGTGACCCGGTTCTTAGTGACGGGCTGAACTTGTAGCGTCTTGGGCTGCGATAAACGCCAATTTCGGGGAGAAGTGCTTATATCGTCCGCATCAAGAATATCGTCGTTGATCAGACGGGGTTTCTTTGTCATAGGAAGAACCTTTCGGAGTGGAAGTTCTGGCCGTTGTTTGCGATAGTAAATATCCATGGAGTCTCCCGAGGGATATGTCGAGTATAATGGCCGCTCGTCATCATCATCGCTGTATCTTCGCTTGCGTCCTGAGTGGTTGTCTTCTCCGACGAAGGGCATTGTGAGGTGCTTTCTGCCAGTGCTGCGTTTGAACATGCACGGCGCGGCAAAACAGACTTATTATGAGGGTAAGAGACTTAGGGAGCGAAATTATTGGTGGTAGGAGTTATTTGTACTGAAATGGCAGAATGGCGTATGAAATGACCCGAGGTTGAAAGCAAGGAGGTGAGAGGAGTAAATAGAGAGCTGAACAGAATTGAAGGAGAGTGGTTGAGGGACGGTTACTGGTCACCAAGGCAGACACCTGCCGCTACAACCTCGAGAAAAGTGGTTCCTGCTTCGGCAGGTGGACGTTCATATTGTGGCGCTAGCTGAGTACATATCTGCCAATAAAAGTGGTGGGGGCATGGACGGGCCGGCTTAGGGAGTCTCTACTGGAATCAAGCATTGCCACACCCTGAATTGTATCGTGAACATTTGATCGTGGACGAATAATGCAATCGCATACAGCTGGATACACTTAGCCAAAAGACAACTTTTTTCTGTCTGGAAAGGGATCATCTTACTCCACCATGACCGTAGTAGATATATTGCATATGTGATGTACTATCATGAATTCCTTCTTTAAGAGGCGGGGTTTCATAGATCTAAAGATTAAATTGCCCAAGACAATATTACTATAGGCTTTCCCTAACCACTGTGTTGTACATATCGTGGCATGTTGTTCATCCATTACTTTCTCTTGTTTAATACAGACTATCTGAGACTTGATCATAATTTAGCATAGAAAAGAATAGGAAGACCTCTACTGTGATCTCATTGAACCAATATCAAGTCAACAAAGGAGACTCGAGTGATTCCAAGGATGCTGCAGCAAATCATTATATACGTCCATCTGGTACGTCGAGGTTCACATATTTTACCAATTCCCCCCGCGAGACTTCCAGCATAAGTACTGTCGAATAAGAAGGTATTGAACGATTCATCTGATTTACACTCTAACATCCACTTCCAAACTTCATTCCATTCCACAACCAAACTTCTTTTATACCCGCCACCGCCGACAAAGGAGCTGCTCTAGGGGGCGACTAGTATACATATGAGATTTTGAGATCTTGCCTGTTTAACGGCGGACCTTGACCTCCTTGGGAGGGTCGTAGGCGATCTTTCGGGACTTGAGCCAGGCCCACTTGTATCGCTTGACCCAGACACTGACAGCCCACAGGGAGGCAGAGACAACCAGAACCTTCATGCCCATTCGCTTTCGGTCGTCCATCTCAGGCTCGGCAGCCCAGTTGAGGAACTCGACGACGTCCTTGGCCATCTGAGAGGTGGTGGCGGGAGTTCCATCCTCATACTCGACGAGACCATCGTAAAGGACACGAGCCATGGCGATACCGGTACCGGGGAAGTAAGGGTTGAAATTCATGCCGGGGGCGACCTGAACACCAGCGGGAGCCTCCTCGGGGTAACCAGTGAGCAAGCTGAAGATGTAGTCACAGCCACCGTGACGGGCCTTGATGATGAGAGACAGATCCGGGGGCAGGGCACCGTTGTTGGCAAATCGGGCAGCCTCCTCGTTCTTGTAAGGGGGAAGCATGTAGTCGGCCAGCTTTCCGGGACGCATCTGGATCTCGCCCTGCTCATCAGGCTCACCGGGGTACTCGTTCTCCTCGGCAAGGGCCTTGGCCTCGTCAACGGTCAAGATGGAACCGACGAGAGTTCGGTAGGGGACTCGGCTAAGGGAGTGGCAGGACTGGCAGACCTCCTGGTAGACCTGGAAACCACGGCGGAGACTACAGAGTGTCAGTAATTCGGCATGGTGTGTCAAGCAAGATCGGTGGCATCTTACGCCTGGTGGTCGAAGGTCTTGAACATCTGGTTGTGGACCCAAGGGTACTTGGTAGGGTGAAGACTATATTGATATTGTTAGTGACTGGTGATGCAATGACCGTGCGAATCATCGATATGCTGGATTTATGCCTCATCATCCAAATAGTGACAACATAGAAACACAGCAATCAATAACCAGGGGCATAACGTACCCCTCCTCAGCGGGAGTCATGGCAAAAGCCACAGGTCCATAAAGATGGTAGTACCAGGCCATGGAGCCGAGGGCGAGAGTGGTCGAGGCGGCGGCGGCCAGGTTCAGTCGAGTGGCAGTGGCATCACCGGCGGCGTTGGCGCTTGAGGAAGCGGCACGCTGCAAAGAAAAGACAGTCAGCAATCTTGTACAGACAATTGAGGCGAATTGTAATGCGATTGGCGTGGTTGCGGCGTGTCGAGGTTCGTGATGATGATATCTCGGCAAACGGGAAGCTCGTTGGCAGAGGTGGTAGAATCGTGCCATACCTTGGCGATAGCGGAAGGGCCGTTGCGAAGGCCATTGAGGGTGCGCGTCGAGCGCAAACACGACCTAGCAAACATTATGGGCGAGCTAGACCGTCACTGCTGCGATCGAATGTGAGGCGGCGAGATGGGGACGTCGTTCTCGGAGTCGGAGGACAAAAGGGCTCAAGCAGAGATCATTAGCAGCATAAGACAAAATCCTATCGAGCGTTCCAATAAGCCGCCGCTGATTGGATGCGGATCGGATCGGAGTCACGTGCTCTTGCACTCTGGCCTTACTCGGCTGAACGGCCAGGTGACTTCCGCTGGTGAGCCTTCCAAATTTTTCCGACACCCGGGTTAAAGTCGGGTTCGACAATCTGCATGACCCATAGTGATGGGAAATTGCAAAAAATACCAACCAGGGGCCTCTACTCAAACCAAATCGGGTTATTCATTTACTGCCTAATTCTGTTTGCTGCCCCACCCCCACCTTGGACTGAATTCATATTCACACCAAACTTCAACATTCTTTCGCATCAAACTTCAACTTTTTTTCTTTGGGTTTGGAAATAAAACAGTTTTCCTCTTTCCTTCATAGCGATTCGCTCCTTCCTCTCTCTTTCTTATAGAATGGCTTCCTCCAACAAGGTGTTTTCCCTCGAGGGAAAGGGTCTCAAGCTCGACACTGCTGAGGATATCGAGGCTCACATTGCCCCTCTTCGATCTCAAGATGTCGAGGAGGTTCGCATTTTGGGCAACACCCTAGGTGTTGGCGCCTGTCAGCGCCTGGGTGAGGTTCTCGCGACAAAGAAGAACATTCGTGTATGTATATTTCTTTTCAAACATGTCGTCAGTCAGCTCACACCTTATTCCAGATCGCCAACTTTGCCGACATCTTCACCGGCCGACTTCTGAGCGAAATCCCCGACGCTATCTCCTCCCTCCTGACCTCCGTCCTCAACCTCCCTAAGCTCAACACTGTCAACCTCAACGACAACGCATTCGGCTTAAACGTCCAAGCGCCTCTCGTGGCATTCCTTTCCGCACACGTTCCTCTTCAGCACCTGTACCTGAACAACAACGGCATGGGTCCTCATGCTGGTATTCTTATCGCCGATGCCCTGTCCGAGCTTCACGGCAAGAAGGAGGCCGCCCGAAAGGAAGGAAAGGAGGTTCCCGATCTTGAGACTGTTATTTGCGGTCGCAACCGATTGGAGAACGGAAGTATGACAGCCTGGGCAAAGGCTTACAGCCTGCACAACAAGATCAAGACGATCAAGATGGTTCAGAACGGTATCCGACAGGAGGGTGTCTCTCACCTTCTGACTGAGGGTCTCAGCCACGCTTCTGAGCTCAAGGTTCTCGACTTGCAAGATAATACCTTTACCGTCACTGGCGCCAGAGCCTTGTCTAAGGTCGTTTCTAACTGGGCTTCTATTCAAGAGCTCGGCGTTGGTGACTCTTTGCTGGGACCCAAGGGTGGTATTCTCGTAGCCAACGCTCTAGCTAAGGGCAAGAACAACAAGCTCGAGATCCTGCGACTACAATATAACGAAATCCCTGCCAAGGGTATTAAGGCTTTCGCCACTGCTGTCAAGGACGGTTTGCCCGCCCTGAAGCGCATCGAGATCAACGGCAACATCCTCACTGAGGACGATGAGTCAATCATCGCCCTCCAGGAGCTCCTCGAAGAGCGCAAGGAGAAGTTCGCTGGCGATATCGTTAACGAAGATGACTGGGGTGTTGACGAGCTCGACGAGCTTGAGGAGCCTGACAGCGACGCCGAGGAAGAGGAGGACGAAGAGGAGGAGGATGTCGAGCCCGAGGAGCGTGCTGAGAAACTGGTCAAGGAGGCCGAGGAGGCTCAGGAGGAGCCTGTCATCCCTGTCAAGGACAAGGAGGTGGATGAGTTGGCAAAGAAGCTGGCGAAGACTGAGATCTAGACATGGATATACATGAACTGCACGATGATGACAATTCACTTCACAAGGCTTAAATGGAAATTTGATACCCCCTTTACAACAACCTGGATGAACTGATTGAGCCGGATATAAAACAAAGTAGACTACGGATTGAGAAACCAGATGTCAAGGTTCAGCAATTGAAGAAAAGGCGTATGTGTGTTTTAGATATATAGAATGAGACGCTTCAGTGAGGTCAAATTTTGTATAATGCGTGCCATGAGTAATGAGGCCTGTCAACGATTGGAAAGGTCCAATTGTTTGGAGCAGAGTAGGGAGTAAAATAGTTTGCCAATTGAAAGCTAAAGTTCCTCTAACGCCATCTGATCCGCTTCCCTTAACTTAAAAGCGAGTTTCTTGTGATAATCTCATCCATCCTAATGACCATACAAATAAGTAGTAAATTCCATACATCATCTGGTCGTTCATGCCTTCGTCTCTCATTGCCTTCCTGCGCGTAGAAGCGCGTGCAGCTCATACATCGCCCGAATGGCTAACCCCAGTCTTCGTCTCCTGACTTGGTGACTTGGATTAAAAAGCAGTGCTGTTCTGTTTCTCAGCATAGTAAAAGTGTTGACCATTTACATGACATCCATCGTGTCCATCTCAGGTGCTCGGAACCCCTGACAGGCGCCATATTGGGATGCCATCGCCAGCAGCTGTTGCTCACGAGCATAGTCGGGACCCATGTAAACCGGGTCGGTAGCTTGAGAGTAGAGTCCATAGGTGCTTCTGGGCTGAGAGTCCCGAGCCTCTCGCTCTCGCTCTCTTCGCATAAGCTCTTCGTAGCCAGAGGCCATGTATGGCTCCATCTCAGGTTCTTGCTGGCTGACCCATCTACCATCATTTGTTTGGACTTGTGTACCGTCCAAGCTCATAACTTGGTGTTGCTGAGACAATCTATCGTAGCGGATGCGGGCTAGTTGCTCCTCGTTCTCAACAGTAGTGCTGCTCCATGCAAGAGCAGGGATATCGCCGCCGTTTCCAGGGGGGCAGATATTCCAAAGCTCGATGAGTCGCTCTTGCTGGGCAGGCTCAGCGACCTTGAAAAGCTGGAGTTGTGAAGGAGTAAGTGTAGCTGGGTTGACGCCATGGTGCATCAGGATGGCTTCGACACTTGGTGCTTGAGTCTGGGGTGGCTCCGAAGATCGACGAGGAATTTCCTGGTGCTGAGCCGCTTGTGCAATATGGGCAGAGTGTGTGTAATGAACGGAGGTGTATATGATAGGCTCAGCAAATTCTGCTTTAGGTGCCTCCTGAGGCACAGGTGCAGGCTCGGGAATCGGGTTAAAGGTCAAGTTGCGAGCCAGGAGAGCAGCAAGCTCATCTTGTGAGTGCATGTCTTGCTGAGAGAATGTCATGGCTGGTTCTCTTTGGTATCTAGAGGTTTGTTAGCCTTTGTCGCGCAATTTTTAGTCGGGGGGGGGGGATATGATAGGTACCAAGATGGTTGAGTTAAAAGGGAGTGTCGACGTAGCAGTAGTCAGGAGAGAGGGGCACAGTAATTTGTTGTTGTAGATGGAAATATCAGAGCACAGAAGCAGCAGAATCAAACTCCAGGAGATTCTTTGGGGTTTCCTGTGAATATCAGGTCGATGTGTCTGATGCAATACCTGGTTGGGGTGGCGGAAGGGAGCGATATATCGTTGTACGGAGGTGACTCGGGATCATGCGCAAGCGGACAAAGGAAGATGTTCTTGTTCTTTCTTTTTTTATATTTGGCAGCTAAGCTAAGCTTATGGAAAGTAGTAGTCAAAGAAAACTCGACGAGTCTTTCGGAGGAGAAGAGGAATATTTAAAAGGGAGTTCGTCTCTTGTTCTTTGCTCAAAGGACCCTTGGGTTAGGCCTTGACGGGCTTGGAGGGGTTTGTCTAAGGGCGGTGGATCGTTGGGTCGGGTTGCAGGGAGTGCACGGGGTGATATGGTTAACGTTAGTGGGGAGATGAGCACGCCTGAGACGATCTTTTGTGAGGCAGTTTATGCGGTGATTTAGAGAAATTTGAGGCTGGATAAGGGATAGAAAGGCTTCTTTGTATTTGTTCGAATGAAATCAAAAAAGACAAAAGGCTCTGCTGTTGACGTGAAGATTCAAAAATATCTTGAAGTGAATCGCGGGGGGATGTTGCTACCAAAAAAATGATGGAGGGGCAATGGATAAGTGGCGGATGGATGAAACGTGGGACACTGCAGAACCGGCAGAGACAATGACAGTGGCATTCCCAGTGAATTCAGGCACCTTTCCAGGTCATGACGCAGTAAAGACACTTTGGAACCGACTGACAGAGGCACATGATGACCCTTATGACAGCATCAATTTCTACAGTACACCATCTCAACAATTTTATACATTATCTTTCGTTTTGATCTTCGTCTCTTGCAAAACTCTTCATATCATACCTAGTACATCTCTTCCATATCAAGAAAGCATGAATCATATTCACTCGCCTCATTCACGTCTTCACGCAAAAGGATTCTAATTCCAACAGCTTTAACCCATGTCTTATTGACCTGGCGTGACCCAATAAGCCTGTGCCACACGGCGACCGTCACACACTAATTGCTCTGCTATGCTTTAGTTCAACGCTGACATGGTTGTTTCTGCTGCATTTGCGTTCCGTTTCCGAATCATCTGCTTTGACGTGGTTCATTTTATGTGAACTGTGCTGTTCTATTTGTCTCAATCTATAATCGTGGTTCCAGGCAAATCAGGGAAACTCTAGGTGCCATCCATTGATACTCTCTCATCAGGCTTCAAACTAACCGCTAGCCAGCAAAAGCCTACACAGCAAGTGGTTAGTTAGTGGCTCCTCAAGATTCAACAATAAGTAGGTGAACTTTTATTACCTGCCGCCTAACGAGAGAGGCATGCGAACTGAACGACGTGCTCTAGAGTTGGGTCTTGATGCTAACGTTAGGTCCATTTCAGTTTCATTTTGCGTTTTATGACCTTTTGAATATTCACAGAAAGCAAATAATTCGTGGACGCCGTCATAGCATAACCGAATAAGAAAAATATATGACAAAACTTAAGCTGAAACTGTCAACACCACCCAAAACACATGGCATTCCATCGGTTCAATACCGAGACTTGAGGCTAAACTCTCCAGGGATGTGCAGTTCTAGACATTCAAGTCCCTAAACTTCTCCTGCAGGGGAGCAAGCAGATCAATCACTTGGGAGGGAGCTAATGGATCCTTCCACAGCCACTCCCGTCCGTCCTCGTCCTCTACCACATCTGCCGAGGCTGTGCTCTGGTGTGGCGCTCGATCTGTGGCAGCTCATATCTTAACACCTCAGGCATCAATACCCCCAGCCTTGCAGCGTACCGCTTGGTCAACTGCAACACGCAGCTCCAGGCTGCCTAGGTGAAGGAAGCTCCAAGCCAACGCCATCGCAAACATCCCGACAACACAGCTCCCCTCTCCTCGTTACCAATTCCCGCCCGATCCCTTCCCACTGCCGAATTACACTCTATCAAACTGAACAGATAAATCATTCATCATGGTAAGCTAATTAATTACACACTCGACTAAGCAAGCATGCTTGTCGTCATCAAGGCATAGCTTCAAGTGCTGACCTAGCTTGTCTCTTTATATAGACGTCGATAGGCACGGGTTACGATTTGCTCAACTCCATCTTCTCCCCTGATGGACGAAACTTCCAGGTCGAATATGCAGTCAAGGCAGTAGAGAGCGGCGGTACTTCGATCGGCATTCGAGCTAAGGACGGTGTCGTCCTAGCTATTGAAAAGGTCGTCTCATCCAAGCTCCTAAAACCTGGTGCCAACAAGCGCATTGCTACAGTCGATAGCCACGTCGGTGCTGTATGTCCTTGACCTTCTACAACTCCTACGCTCAGCTCTTACTAATCTTATCAGGTATCATCTGGTATGGTTCCCGATGGACGTCACTTCGTCGACCGAGCCCGTGACGAGGCCCAGAGCTGGCGACAGAACTTCAAGACCCCCATTCCCACATCCAATCTTGCCAGCCGCATGGGTGGCTACCTCCAAGCCTACACCATGTACGGATCAGTTCGGCCATTCGGCATCACCGCCATCCTGGGCGGCTACGACACCCCCGAGGATACCCCAGTCGATGGCGAGGTGGGATCAGGACCCAAGGTTGGAGCTGGCGGCAAGGTTATGGGCAAGCACGGTGGACCCTTCCTTTACATGATCGAGCCCAGCGGAATGTACTGGGGTTACTACGGAGCGGCCACAGGCAAGGGCCGACAGGTCGCCAAGGCTGAGCTCGAGAAGCTCGACTTGCCCGCCGGCAACATGTCTCTAGAGGATGCTGTGAAGCAGGCGGCGCGCATCATCTACATTGCGCAGAAGGACAACAAGGACAAGGACTTTGAGCTCGAGATGACCTGGATCAGCGGACCTGATGGTCCTACCAAGGGACGGCATGTCGAGGTGCCAAAGGAGCTGCGGGAAGAGGCTGAGCGATTAGCAAAGGCCGAGGATGAGGATGACGACGACGACGATGACGATGATGATGAGGACGCTAAGGACGACGACAAGATGGAGGATTAGAGAGCGATTGTGTCAAGAACAAAAATTAAGGCACTTGTACTATCATGATGACGAATTCATAGAATTTAATGGTTCATCTGCAGGCTTCCGAACTACTTGCGGGATGCCTGAAGCTCAAACGTGCTGTCTATACGCGAGTGTGTTTATCAGAAAGGAGGGAAAGTCTGCAGGTCCAACAGGTCCAGAAATTTCCTGTACTTTGTAACAAAGGCCAGTCGATTAATTATATTAGTAACATGATGTCTACACATCAATTCACCTCGAACCCTGTGACATAATGCTGCAGTTGATTGCTGCTGATATGTCAGGAAAGTTATTAAGCTCCAAATTGTAGACAGGTTCAGATACATTGTTCTATTTTTATATTCAACTCAAAAGAAACTGTCTATGGGTTTGCTTCTCCATCGACTCATATGTCATTGGCATTATCTATTCACATATATTAAGCCTGGGAGGCTGTGTTTTGAGACCAGTTGTACCAGTCAAGGAAGAAAGACGACTGAGGCTTAGTTTCGCGAAGCACCCAAGTCTCCCATGTTTTGGCGTACACGCCGATCACATCTTTGATATTGTCCTTGTCGGCAGCGAACAGTGCTGACACAACGATGAGACTTGCCGCACTGCAGGCCTTTGCATATGCGTGTGCGTTGTCCTGCCCGACAGCTTCATGGATCTCGAACAATACGCCTAGCAGACCATCTCTATCGGGAATCTCGATCTTCTCGCGGTTGCTGCGAGCCTTCTTCAAAGCCTTTTGGTAGTTGAGGATGATGTCGCATGCGCGGGAAGCAAGAGGCTTCGTGCTGGTGGTGCGCATCAGACTAAGGAGGGGCGGTAGGAGGGGGAAGGCTAGAGGGCTGAGAGGCTCGTTGCGAACGTAGATGTCGAGGAGATCAAGGATGCGGTGCTTGAAGTTAACAACGGACTGCTTGGCCTCCTTCTTCTGCTTCTTGGAGTCGTTTGTTCGGTCCTGGATACGAGGCTTGATGGCTGCGGCAAGCTGCTCGTCGATGGCGAACATTTCAGAGTCGGACATGTCACCCTCTGATTCCGAAGACTCAGCCTCTACGTCCTTGTCTAGGCGGTGGCTATTGAGAAGCTTCTCAAGGGCGTTGTCCAACTCTTCCGGCTTGTCAAACTCGCCATCGTTCTTATCCTCATCTTCACCCTCATCCTCGTCTTCATCTTCGTCTCCGCTTTCATCATTCACCTCGTTGATATCAATGAACTCAACATCCGAGTCAATCTCAATATCCGAGTTATCTTCTTCATCCGCGTCTGTTCCCTCTTCGTCCTCCTCGTCCTCGTCAACTTCCATCTCATCCTCCCCAGTGTTGAACAACTCCTTTTGACCCTTGGTGCTTTCGTTGGATGAGAGGGGTGTAGTCAGGAGCTCCAGGCCACCGGCTGAGATTTGTGGTGTGAAGGCATCGAACACTTGCTGGGAAACTTGACGCATAAGAGATGAGGGTCGTGCGACAAATGATAGCAGAATCTCGACGAGAAACTCTGATGTACCAGCCTCACTCTCAGCAGACTTGCCCTTCTTGAGACGGTCTGAGTACTGAGCAAGATCGTTGAGAACTTCCATAGCATCGGGATCCTCGTTGTACAGTTGGAAGACGGACACAGCATGCAGCATTGCCAGAGCCTGGAAAAGACTCTTCTCGTTGCCATCTGCCGCCTTACGCTTAAGCAGCTTCTGCATTCTTGACATAGCGTTCCGGACGGCCTCGCTAATCTCCTCGGACATTGCCACCGAGTCGGGGTCGATAGCAGACACGGCAAGGCATAGCGTACCGTAGTCTTCGGTTCTTCGGCTGACCTTGGCAAATGAAGACTCGAGGCGAGTTCGGCAAAGCTCGCGAACACCCTCTGTCAGAGAGTCTGCTGGAATATTCTTAGGCTGAGAGTATGCAAGCTGGGAAAGTTCTTGCAGGGCAGCGGAGAAGACCTTTTGTTGGATCTTTCCAGACGTAGTTGAAGCCGAGGCATTGAGGGTTTTTGATAGGTAGTCGACGTAAACTCTGAGGGTGGATGTAGCTTGTGCTGTCTCTTGCTGGTCGATGGTACTAATAGGCTTCTGGATAATACTGATGACCTCTTTGCCAGTCTCCTCGGATACGTTCTGCAGGATATGATCGATCGTCTTGGTGTTGGTTCGTTGGTCGAAGTTATAGGCGCCATTCTGGCCGAGCAGACTGTTCAGAATAGGTAGAAGTGTCGAGGGATGTGTTGAAATTGTTGACTCAATAGACTTGAGGGCCTTAATCGCTGCTCGATGCAGGTATCGATCTTCCTTGGCAGCTTGGTTCATGAGGCAAAGGGCAAGGTTCTTGCTGAACAGGCCCTCAAGATGGTTGGGGAGGCCGACGAGTGCTTCCAACATTTTTTGGAATACCATGAATCCCTTGAACTTCTGGCCCTCGGTGGCGCTTTTGGCAAATAGGGAGTCTTGTACATGTTAGCTGCTGGTGTTAATAAAAAAATGACGTCCAAACTCACCATCCACTACACGAGCCCAGAACTGTTGGAACTCTTCGGCCTTGGACTCTCCTTCCTTGACGTAGTGGGCCAGAAGAATATCCCAAACATAGTGTAACTGAGCGGTCCAGCTTGCCTGCTTGTTCTTCTGTCCACGCTCGGGCTGGTCCTTGGAAAAGTCCTGGAAGCTTTCTCGAAGAACTGCAGCAAGGTCGCCGAAGGACTTCTTGGAAAGAGGATCGTACCAAGGCTTCACCTTAAGGTCAGGGAACCGGGAGAGAGTAACGAGCCAGACAGCCACACCTTCGGGGGTCTTGGCCAGGCTCGCTTCTGCAATCTTCTCCAGAGTGGCTTCGGCCTGCTTCTTGTTCATCTGTTCGATAGCTTGAACGATGACCCAGCCACACTGAGAGCGAAGCCAGACTTTCTTGGTCGCAAGCTTCAGAAGAAGTTCCAGAACTGTATTCCATCTCGAGATGTCGTGGAAAAGAATTCCAGCTTGGGCGAAAGCCATAAGACCGAAAACCTGACCAAAGAAGTGGTCTCGTTCCTCCTGTCCGGGGATATTTCCAATGACCTGAATCTTCTCGTTCAAGATCTCGAGGACGGTGTCGAAGTCGAGGTCCGGGTAATTCGATTCGGCGAGCGCTTTCTCTCCAAACAATTGCCCCAGAATCTCTGTCAATACTAAGCTAAAACCGAGTCTGGAGGCATTTCGACCACTTGCGAGTCCACGGAACAGGCGGCGATCCAGATGCCGTCGCAGAATGGCACTAGAAACGCCCTCTCCATCAGTGCCCAACAAACTGGCAACAATGCAATCGGCTGCCTCAATGCGATCATCGGGGTCTTCGCTGCCTAGCAGCTCATAGAGCTCAGCCTCTCTCTTGCGATCTTCGCCAATTGGTGACTCCACGAAGAGGGCCTTGACGAGGGTCGGCTTGGTCTTGGTCGAGCTCGCGGTCTTGGACTTGGTCTTGTTCTTCTTGCTAGCGCCATTCGTTGACGGATCGGCTTCGTTCTTTGTACGCTTTTGAGGGTTCTGTAGGCCGTTGGCGCCCTCTTTGGCACCGCGCTTTCTTTTGCTGCCCATTTTTAGTTGTGTGGGAGTTGTGAATGATGGAGGCGCAAATTTGCTTGGTTCATCGATCTTTTTCGCGATGCCTACCTCTTGCAGAAAAATTACTGGGATTATGAGATTCTGCCAACTGTCACCGCCAAAAAGTTACTGAACCCCACCAACTGACGTAGTTGTATATCGTAGGATCCAAGAGAAGAATAATTCCTTGTAAAGTAGAGATAGATCATTGTAGGCGTATTTTAAAGCTAGAGGCTATTACTAAGGTTGTTCTCAACTTTTGTGTGTCTAAAAGCTGGCCTATAAGCTCACTAAAGAACCAACAAGGCATTCCCAAAGTTTGAACATCTTAGACTACCCTATGCCAGGCTGTATGACAACGACTCAAAGGATTTCGTGAACGACACAATCGGGATAACAAGGAATTGACAAGTCAAGCTAGCCTCTACTTCAATGTTGATGTTTCACTCTGGTTAAATAGCACAATATTGGCACGTAGCATCTAAGAAATATTCATACCAACGGGCTGGAGATTCAGATCAATTAGACTAGGAATATGATATACACAAAAAATAACGGATGATGCAGCAGATGGCAGATATGGTGGTTTCATCATGATACTTGACAATTGTTTGACAATAGGAGTTTTGCCACGTTCAGGAGTATCTCAAGTCCATTGATAGCAGTCATTTCTCTTCCCCTTAATTACAACCCAAGTTGCAAAAGAAATGTCATGAACAGTGCACTTGTATCATCACTCAACCAACGAACCCCTTATGAGGGTCTTGTCATGTCGTGGAACAGAAATTGTACCCGGTGATAATTATCAAATGTCAGTTTTAGTTTTTTTCAAGCCACGCCTTGTATCGTCGTTCGTGGCTCTGTTACTATTACATGCTATTACCCCGTACCAGGATGGGAGCTCCTATTGCGGAGTTGGGGTTTGGGCATGTGCGTGGTGTCCCTGAGTTTTGACGCTGTACGTGAATCGCAAAAAGTCACCAATAGTATGAATCTCACAGGCAACCGCTGTGCTTTAACGTTTTCCCGATAAAAAGTTTTGACATATAATTTCCGTAGATCGGTCCTTTGGTTGCGGAGCCCTGGCCAAGGCCATGGAGTATACCCGATACCCTCAAGGAAGCGAAAAAGGAAAGCCACCAACGCTGCCGCCGGCGCCTTCACTAACTTGGGGCTTTTCCAGCCACCCAGACCAGGCCTGGTTATTAACGAAACTAGCATGGAAGTTGACGCATGAACGCTGAAGGCTGAAGTGTTGTACGTACTTTGTATGGATGTTACATCCGCTGAACCCAGGCCCTGCAAGTTTCGATGACAGGTTGCTGAGTTGAGGCGAGTTACTACAGTGATTGTGATTGCGCAAGGTGAGATGGTCAGATCTCGTCCAATCCCCATTATTGCGTATCCAACCCTGTTC